AAAGCAAATAGCAGTGTAATTCAATTTGGAAGCATAACACAAAATAGCATGTGATTTTTATTCCATGGTTTTGGTTGTTGTTGTTGTGGTTGTGCATTGTGTGCAATCCGGCTGAAAGCCATAAAACATATGTGTATGCAACCGAAATAACAGCCATCGAACAACAACAAAACGACACACCATAAAAAATATTCCATAAACTTGGTTCAAATGACATAGACGCACACATAATAATATATTGAAATTCCATTTGCACGAAAGGAGATCTACACCAAATTGGGAAGCAAAGCGATAAGAAGCTAAGGATACAACAATACAAAGAAAAGCGGAACAAATGGTGACAAAAAAAGGAGAATGTCTCATGTGACAGCCAAATCGATCTGTATATGTCACCTTAAACGTCTTTTATATGGTAATCGAAACGTAAAATAAAAACGTCTTACATGGTTGTCATGTCGCGTGTTGCGACTACGAAGTCAGACGACTGCTATAGCTAGAAAATGTTCGGGTATGGTGTGACGTTGGATTGAAATTCTCCCCGTAAAGTATGCAATTGCCGTTATAATATCGTATATATGCTATATGTTTACAAATTTTCTTGGTTTGTTACTCTTCAACCACCACGCAATTCGATTGGGATGGAATCATTTTTGTGCTTACATCATACGCCACTTTCATGTAAATCTAATAAAATACACTCCTCTCACTTCCGCAATCCCCATTCTGCTTTGCATTAGGCATTTTATACTGAAATTCAATACGTCACTCCTTAAATATAACAATGACGGCGCTTTTAATACAAACCACAGCTCAATAAGTTTGGGCACAGGCATTTTTCACTTCGTTCTCCATATCAATGCACATTAAAGTTGTGCACTTAATGTGTGAATTGATGTAAAAAAAAATAAAATGAAAAATAAAAATGATGAATAAATAGACGAGAGAAACACATTTCTTATTGAGCCGAGCCTTGTACACTTAAACGTGATCGATGTTCGTAACTGCTACAGATTGGCAGTTGCCGTTAACTAGTATTGGCAGGCATTCGATATTTCTTTTTTTTATTAAATACACTTAACGTCATCTGTAATTGACGCGCTTTTTTTTTACACAGACATACATCCAAATTCCAAACAAATATTTGTTGTCAATTTCAAATTGACGCGATTTTGCTACTCAAAACCAATAAATGTGTATTCGATAAATATTTGAAACGTTGCAACGCTTATCAAATTCCGTGTGATAATAAATATCATATTGAATTGTAAACAAATCGAGTTTTTAAAATGTGGGCTATGGTAAATGCAATCATCTCATTGGAGAGAGCGAGAGAGATAAAGGGAAGAAAATACACAGAGAGAGACAGAGACAGAGAGAAGGCACCATGTTGATGTCCATTGCTCATGCCCATGTCTATCATGTTCTTTTGTTTTTGATGCTCGACAAGGAAATATTGAAAATCGTGAATACGACGGAAGTGTACATACATTGTTGCACTTGCAACTCAAACATCATATTGGATTTGATTTTACCGGCGAAAAATCAAAGTTAGCATACATTTGAATATAATGGATTTTACCGCTTTTAGTTTGCATTGTACGTCATTCGTTAGTGTATGTTGGCTTTTTCTCCATTCGATTCTCTTTGTCGCTCTCTTTCTCTCTCTCTTTTTCAGTCAATTTTCAAAACGAAACTCAAACTCCCTTTGATGCACCCGGGCTTATCGATGAAAGTGGAAATGCCATCCAATAGAGAATAACAAAAAAAGAAAACAGAGACACAAACATTGCAATGCGCCTTCGTCTTCGCGCTCGTTTATTGTGCATGTGAAACAAAATTTCCGAACTGTTTATTATTCATAAGGTTTTGATAACATTTTCTTAAAGGTTTTTTTTCTCTTCTTCTTCGTTTCACTTCATGTGTTTCCGTTCATTGTCAGCTGAAGTGTTTTCCAGCGCTTACAATCGACAGATAGATACGGCAATGCTTTTAGATTGCATAATTATATTGGCGTGGGGCGTCTCTCTCTGTATGTGTGTTTGCGTGTAACACAACGTACGTATGTGTCGGTGTAATGAAATTTGAAATTGAAAAGGAAATATGTTGCGCGATTGCAATGAATACAAATGCATCGTTATTTTCTATCGCATGTGGCATGTATGTGGGTGTGGGTGTGTGTGTGTGTGCTTCAAAACGGCGAATGGCATTGGTTTTTAATCAATTGTTTATGACATCGATGTGCACATTTCGTACAGAAGTGATCGTAAATTTTTTGCGTGCACAATCTTTTCCTTCGTCAACTTTTTGGTATTTGATATTTGCTTTTAACACATTCATGCTCATGACATACTATAACTTTTTCAACTGTGTGATGTGGGGGAGAGAAAAACGAAGTGGGAAAATTGTTCATATTCATATTATATTGCCATTATCATTGATTACCATAAACAACAGCATATGAGCCTATAATTGTGTAATGCTTTTCTCATCTCCTGTGCGAATTTGTGGAATGTGAAGCTTTTCCATTTATTACCATCCAAATTTCGATTCCTTACCACCCCTTACTCTATGCCCACGTTAAAATAAATCAGAGAACAAATGAAAGAAAAACCATATGATCGCACGCTAAGTGTTAAAAAATGTTCGTGCAATTTAAATTAAGTGCCATTAAATTTTTACATGTACAATCGCATAGTGCTTCATTTTTGCTTAAAATAAAACACAAAATTTCTCTCTTTCGAAAAAAAAACACACACACACACACACACACATTGAATGTTTTAAGTGAATTTTCGTAGATTAACACCATATTCTCAACGAATAAATGCACACCAATGGAATGGAAATTGAGAAAAATTGTAAATAATAACAATCAAATCACATGGGATGTGCTTCCTTTTTCGTTTGCATAAATATTTATTTTTTCTCAACACACAGACAAACAGACACACAGTATTTAAAATAGAATAGTTGATTGGTTTATTGAAGTTTGTTGTGTCGGGGTCAGTTGTTTTTGCAAAAGCAATTGAATGATTGAATTTTCAATTTTAGTGATTGAAGAATATTTGTGTAAAATCGTTCAATTGTTAATTGTCGTAGAATCGTTGGGGAAAATTGTACTCATGGGATATGATTACTGGTGAGGAAAATCACTTGATGTACAAACACAAGATGGCTTTGTATTTTATATTGCCATGTTGATTGCTTACAGCGACAGGCTTTTATATTTAGTGTACGGAATGAAATGTACCAATAAATGCGATTTATATGCTCGGCATGCAAATTTAACATCGCTTCTCCATTTCAAACGCTTTGGAATCTGTAACGTGTTTGTCTTCTGTCGCCTTTTACGTTTCAAAACAGACGTTTTTGCCATTCAACATTGCACGTAATTTGACATAGATTTTCCTTCCAGACTCAACATTTTCTTCTCCATTTTGTGTATATGTTTGTGTGTGCATTCGCCTTCATGCCCTCCGTAATCAATGCTTGCATAATTTGCAAAACAAAAGTTTAAAAGATTGTACATCTTAGCTTCAACAGTTTGTGCAGTTTTTGCCATGTCGATGTGCATTCAGGTCGGATGGAAATGTTCAACGTGTCTACGGTTTTGCTTGGCATGTGTTGGTTGTTGATGATTTTTGCTGCAAGCAAAAGCACAACAAAGTGGTCTTATATGCACATGGCAACGAGGAATCTATTTCACATAAATATCGTCATTTTGTTGTGATTTTTCTGTACGATGTTTATATTTGCTTTGGTGTGTGCATGTGTATGTATCTGCTTCGAAAAATTGAACAATTGAATTGAATCGTTTTTGAACATAAACTTAATATCTAATGCTTATCGGCTTCAAATTAAAAACAACAAAGAATGATTTAGCTTTTATCACTGATTCCATTATCAATGTACTCACGTAGTACATACAAATAAATGTTCAACGATTGAAAACACATCTTCTTTCTTCTTAGTGAATTGCCGTATCAACGACCAACATGATTCCATTTACAACGCATTTTCCACCCTCGACGTTTGAATTTTTTTTTTTTTTTTGTTTGTTCGCCAAGCTATTCGCATACATTCACAACATCACAACTCAACTTTCAACTAATCGTTTCTTTTTCGTAAAATTCCCCTTTAAGAGTTTGATCGCATTAGCGATAATAGAAAAGGAACGACATATACACACAAGTAAGAAAAAAGCGAGAACGAAAAAGAAAATCCTCTTTCAGCATTGGACATGATTAAACTATTCAAGTGAACAACTGCATTCCATTTTTCTTGATTGTTCATTTCTTTTCGATTTTTTTTTTGTCACTTGCCTTGTTGGCTCATTCTTATTGATATCCGTTCGTGTGTGTGTGTATGCTGTATGTTCTCTACATTTCTTATTTGTGATACAAATTTACTTCGTTTGTTGTACTTGGCACTTAATTTTCTTCACTTCAGAGTTCAAAGTACAAACTTTTTACCCACTTTTCGCACCGTTTTTTCCTTTAACGACTTTGATTCATCTTCTTGTTTTCACATTGTAATTGTTTGTGTATCAGCGATTGCACTTTTCCATTCACAGTTATGGATGTTTTTGTTTTCTCTCATGCTAACAGAATCACTGTTGAAATTCGTAAGTTTTCTTCATTGAAATCGTTTTTTTGTTTTTTGCCTTTTTGCACTTTACCGCCGAAATTTATTGACTTTACGTGCTCATATGTATTAGGGCAGATTTTCATTCTAAAGAAGAAAAAAAATCAATATTACTACAAAAATAAATAAGAATAACAAAGACGTAAAATTTTGGTCGATTTAAAGGTATTCTGATAAATTGCGTAACGAATGAACGTCGATTCAATTTCTATCAAAAAAAATTAAAGTGATAAACATTTCCTATTATCTATTCAATTTTTGAAACTAAACGAATTCAATGAAAAGTATTGAACGAATACACTTGGTTGCTATAGCCAACGTACGGTGTTTATTCGATAGTTCTGTTGATATTCATTGTATTTAAAAGTTTTGAGTTAAGGCTTGAGCTGTGATCGTACTTTTTTTTTGGTGTGTGGATCAAACAAGTTATAGTAATGAGTTCCGACGTTCCAGAGATTATAAAAAGTTTGAATCATTTTTCCTTGTTTGTCGTCTATTGAATCAACATTTTTCATTGTGCCATTTCATTTCGATTCTCTATTTTTAGCCATTACTCGTAAACGATATGTAAAAGAAAAACTTTTTAATCAAATGCTCAGTGAATTATGTGCACGAGAATGTGAGAAGCAGAGCACTGTTATCGGTGAAAATACCGAATATTCGGACCAATTTGGCAGAAGAGGCGGTAAGGATAATGATCGGCAGGTAGGTGAATGCATATGTCATTCCAAATATAAATGACCGACAACGAGGGTGAAACTTGACAAACAAATTTCAAACTACATATTTATATGGAGTGGTTGCATTCCAGTGCAATATTTTTTTGTCATTTCTCACATTCATTCTCAGGTATTTCATATATTTAAATGAGTTTTACATGGTATCCATCCAAAAGTAATGTTTTTTTTTCTTCTTCTCAAATAAAAAATAAATAAATTATAATTTACCAGACAATTGCGAATAACAACTTTAAATTGTATGGCGAAAATTCGAATGCAATCAGCTTTTGGAATACAGCAATCCATAATGGACGAGGTCATTTCAAGCAATATCATCCGCTGACAAAGTTGAACAGTGAATGTCTTGACGAACCGTGGAGATAGTGTACTACATCAATTTATTCGGTGGTACATTATAAGTTTATGATGTGAAATGTGATTACAACTAAGTTGATTGTATCGAAATTCATTTCGTTTCTAAATAGATTATTCTCATCGTTCAACTTTATATTTGGTAAAATGGGTCTCACATATCTTTTTTTTTCTGCGCGCTCCCATAGCAAATCATATTTCGTTACTGCTATAAATCATATATGTCGAAGGGGATAAAAACTAGTATGACTATTGTCAATACAATACAAGCGGACACAATAAAAATCTATATATATAGACAATTCTGCTGAAGCGTATAATGAAAACTCAATCATTTGTTAAGTTTTAACAAGCGCATGGTTTCAACCGCACCATAAATGTAAGACAAAAACCAATTCGTCCCCCTCTTCATAACATCGATAACATAAAATAGCACGAAGATTTCTACTGCAATGTTGGCGTTTCTCTCATAAGAAGATAAATAGATATTTCTGATTAAACCTGAGAATTGGCCTTGTAAGATAGATTACAAATGAGATTTGATATAATAAAAAGAAACTATTCATATCCAAGGAAATAAAATTGTTCGAGATCATAAAAAAATCTTCGTCTTATTTAATTTTGTATCGAAAACACAATTTCATTCTTCATTTCTTTCCATTTACTCTGACGGCAAACATGGTACCATAGCTTCAGTGTTGCATCACACATGCACCACAAGAGCAATCAACAACCAATTTGAAGCCAATTGACTTACGCATTCATCTGCAATCGCATTAAATATTGTATCACAATTTCTCATGAAAATCGAATAAAATAAAATGAGGTAAAAAAAATGAAAAATATCTAACCATTGGTTAGAGGTGTCGGAGACTGCTTGTTGTCCGGTTCTATTTTTTTTTTGTATTCTTGTCAAAACTTAAATGTTAAATCAGAGCGTAGACGAATATGAAAAGATATTGTACAAATGAAATGTTAATGTTGTCGCGCAATGTGTGTTTGTCGTCAGCATCGGCAGAATCGCAAACATCAACTGAATTGGTTTGGGCGAAGTAATGACGATGGTACACGAGAAAGTGAATAAAAGCGCATGATTTGGCGCTTACGAAAGAAAGGGGAATGTTCGGTTTCCAGTCGTCGACGAATCGGCACGCATCCACATAACAGGGGCAAGAATTCGTTGATATGGCATTGAATAATGTGCACGAAATCGAAAGAAAAAGAAAGTTAACAAAAAATTGTTGTTTTTCCCTTCTGGAGATGTTTATTATCTTGATAACAAATAAGAGTGTCTTGAAGGTGGAGCCAATATTGTTTATAAAATAAATGAGTCGCTTTTCGTGTGGAGGTCGTTCTGTGAAACATACGAACAAAAACAAAATTACTGCGTTAAAAAATAAAAAATAAAAATGTACCATGAAATAATCACAGCTGAGAAAAATCATAGCATTTGTTTTCTTTGAAATGCAAAGAATTCATTTGCATTCTCTTCAAATTAATAGTATAACATCAGTTTCATCAACACTCAAGCGATGATAAAACAGAGTGATAATTGTACCGATTTGTCTCTTTTATGTGTCAACAAACTATTATTATTATTATTATTTTATGGTAGCTAATTAGAGTGCAAATAGAAAATCGACACACAATTTGTTAATAGATAAATTGATTCATTGTATCAAAGGCTATTTTAAATGTTTGAAAATTTTAATATCATTAATTGAATCGGGTAGCTTTTTTTGCTTGAACATTTCAGGCAAGAAAACTATCATAACGGCCGATGAGGATGCAAAACCGCTGAATAGATAAGTTGGTAACATTTCCATCACGGTTATCTACGTTATAAATGAGATAAAATAAATCAATTAAATCTTACGGAGCGGTGTCAATGAATTCTTCATTTATTCATACCAGCAATGGTACAAGCGGCGCTAATAGCATTCCAATTCGTCCAATCATCGAGCAAAAACCTTAAAAACAAATAAATCAATCAACTCTCAATTTTTTACAAAATGGTTTATACCCATTATTCGATGTTTTAAAACTGTTGGCCATAATTCGTTTGTGTAAACATAAAGATAAGTAAATGCATGATTTACGAAGAGTTTTTCTTCAAAGAAGAGTATCAACAATATTGTCGGATTTCCGGCCATCGTCTGCTCATGTACTTCAACATTAGATATGTGAGCAAAAGACCAGGAATGCCACCAAATGAAACAACCATAAAATTTATATACTTATCACTTTGCATGGAAACCGAAATAATCGATACACCGTATGTTACAAAAACACAACAAATCCAAAGACATGCAAGTATAATTAGACATGTAAGCAAACTAAAACTCGAAATGATATCGATGAACGATCCGGAACTATCTGAATTTGTTGCTTCATCATCATTTTCGTTTTCACATTTCATTGCGACTATTTGATATGTCTCTGGTGAAACAGTTACACCATTCACTTTAGCCGCATGCTAGATCGTTTTGATGGTTCGATCATATTTTCGATTTGCCATTAACCATCGCAAACTTTCGGGCAGTATCCAGATATACGGGAATGTTACAAAACCAAAAGCACTTATTACACGAAGTAACCATTTGTAATCATGGAGATATGAAGCGATCAGTGCGGTGACAATTTGACCGAGCGGATAAAAAAAAAATAAGACAATTCACAAGAGTGCTGTATTCAGTTGTTGCATACTTCATTCCACAAATTAGCGCAGTTGGGTAAATGGCGCTAAAATCAGTAGAAAAGAATTAATAATAATAAGAAAAAACAAAATATGAATTTCTTATTCTTTTCGTAAAGATTTTTTTTTTAAATACCCATTAATACCGGCGTTCAACATTTCCAGAACCACAAATAAATTGTAGCTAAGGGAAAAACTTTTAAGCACTTTTACAACGGAGCTGACTAGTGTTGAAGAAATAAGTGCATATTTTCGTCCAATTCTAATGAAAAAAAAAAAACAAACATTCAATATGGACGAAAGTTCATTGTCATCAATATTCGCTTAATTTACCGGTCGCTAAGATATCCTATAATCGGCAAGAAGATAAGTCTTCCCACTGAACTAAAAGTTCCGACCATTGCGATTTCCCATCGATTTTCATCACAAAACAAATTAAACTATAGAAAAAAAACATATCGGCCCATTTAATATGAATAATATAAATGTAATTGTTGTGATTGAAAGAACCTCATTGACAATGGAAAGTTCATCAGTGCTGAATATCATCGATCCGTTGGCACAATTCGTAATGATCGAGCGATTGAATGAATTGACATCACAACTGCTGCCATTTGGGTCTTTATCATAAACGGTTCCATATCGATGACAACTATCCGGATGTCCATTTTTAAATGGTGTCGAGCATAATAACCAATCGGGTTGAAACGTTAATTTTTCTGATTGATCACATTCGCTTATTTTGCACCTAATTGAAAATAAATTAAAATCAATGGAATCGTTTACAGAGTCGAAGATGTAGAGTCCACTTTACATTAAATAGTTATAGATTTGAAATTTACCAAATGCACCACCGATGTCGTTAAGAATAAATTGGACATCATTTTTTTCTTCATTCACTTCTTTTCGTGGTGAGTTTGCCATTTTTTACTTGAAAAATGATTCAAATCTCGCTGAAGATTCAATAACTGACTACGAGTTGAGTTCACTTTAAAATTCAATTTATCATGAATTTGGATCATTTATTATTGTTTAAGTTTCAGATTAAATATGATTAATTCCATAAACGTTGATATCAAACGAATGATCCGTAGAACATAAAAAGTCTGTGCTGAAATGAATGAATGATATTTGGATGCGAAATCATTTGAGACTCGTGCTTTCTAACCTTTTCAATTTATACGATCTGGATTATAAACTTTTCCGTTTACACATCCTCCAATTCATTCATAAATGTCCTGCAATAAAATTATGATGACATTTGCTCATTTGAAATATGGGAATATTCCATCCAGATCAATTATAATCAAAATTATTTCCAAAAATATTTTATTTTCACCTTATTTTTATGCATTTTCAATTGAAAATCGATAGAAAAAAAAGAATATTGCAAATAAAATAGTTTAGTACGATTTAACCGACCGTACACCTTCAAATCAATTTCGAATAGCCCTTACGTAAATGTCATTAGACGCACTTTTCAATTCAGTTTTGTGATGAACGTCGCCATACTTTCTCATTTTGACAGCAAACGCATTCTATTTAGAATAGAGGTCTTTCATTGTAATTTTTTGTGTCTGGACTGACACCATACAAGAAAATTAATTTCTTCCCTTAAATTTGTTATTTGGCAACGGTATCAATATATAACAAAAGTTTTTCGTAGATAGGATACATCAATCAAAAAGACAGAGTCATTTTCAACTTTAAACATTTTATTTAGCTCGATATAGTGTAAGTAATCCATTCAAAATTTCTCTCTCTCTCCATTTTCATCTCTATCTCGCTCGCTCTAATTCTATCATCTATGTAACTGTGTATGTTCACGATACACGATTTGTGGTGTATTTGTGAATATATATATATTTAAAAAAAAGAATCTTATTTATGTCCGTGCACACGAAATTATTGGAGACATTTTGAAATAAAAAAGGCGTCTAGATATACATTGTCAATTTGTTTTCGATTTGTAAATTTTTCTTCTCGTTTGCTGTGCACATTCCATATTCAAATTGAGTTTTGTATGTTTAATGTAATCAAAGCCAAATGAATGCGATTATGAATAATTATGAAAAACTTGATTCGTCTGAATTGAAATTTCATTAATTTTATTTTCTTGTCATGTTTTCTATAAAAATTTGCATGTTATTGTGTGAAATATAGAAGGCAAGAGAGAAAATTCATTTTTGGTTATGTTTTCAAGTTCGTTTGATTGATTTTCATTTTATGTACTAAGTCTAATATGAATTTGTATACACTTTATTTTAAGGTGGATTCGCAGAACATTTTTTCAATATGGTGATAAATTTACGAGTGAAAACATTGGATTCACAGGATCATGAATTCTCGGTTGAAGATGACGTAAGTTTTTATTCATTCTGTTTATTTCTCGAATTTTCTATACACAAACAAAATACTCTTATATATAATGCCAAGCAAATGAACCAAAAACAACAAAAACGTTGAAAATTCTTTACACAAACTTCAAATATGATCATAAAAGAGTCGATTGACTAACAATTTTTGTGCAAATGTTTTCACACAAATAGATTACTGTTAGACAACTCAAAGAGCGTATTCATGAAAAGACCAATGTGGAAATTGATCTGCAACGGCTTATTTATTGTGGACGAGTCATGAACGATGATCATCCATTAAGCGATTACAGTGAGTTTTTATTACACGTATTTTTATTATCGTTATGACCCGTGTATTTACATCACACAAATGATTGATGGCAATTTGAACATTTCCTTCCTCTAGATGTTAATGGAAAGGTTATACATTTGGTTCAGCGTCCACCACCTGGTACAACGCGAGCCAGCAGCAGTAGTAATACAGAATCCGCTTCAACTGATCGTCATCGTAATACTGACGGTGGCCGAAATAATGTGCCATTCATCCATGTTTTGGATGGTACCGTCCTGGGCGCAATGGCAATTCCCATGAATACAAATAGTGGTGTAAGTAAATCAATCACAAATAAACGATTTTTCATGAATTCAACGGTTTTTCAATTTTTAAATTTTTTCCCATTCAAGACCACACAATCAATTACACATTCAATGAATCCATCATCAACATTGTGCATGAACAGAATCACTGTGGCTCGACACATGTTGAATTGTGTTAACAATATAGCCAATTACCTGGAAAATCCTGAACGGGTATGTGTCATTTGTAAAATTGGCCACATTTTGGTGGTTTCGTCACCCGTCGAATGAATAAATAAAATGGTGTCTGTTTTTTTGTGTGTTGCAGGGTTTAAATAATACTGACATGGACATTTTGGCCCAACAAACAATGGAATCGACAGTATTTGAAGTTGGCATATCAGCCGTAAGCGATCCTGATGTGCCGCAACAAGATGTTCAAAATGTTGTTCAACTATTCCAAGGAGCTGTTTCAGCTGCCTTCCAACAGGTAACAAATACAAGACATAAAGAGAAAAATATGAATTCTTTCAAAATCAACAATGTTATTTTCTTGCATTTAGAATGGTTTGCCAAATATAACAGTTGACTCTGTTAACGGAACCACGCAGGCAACAATTCCGTTAGTTTTCGGCGCAACTGCAGCGCCTGCTATTGAAATGAATGCAGCAACACTGGGTAATCCAACAGTCCGTGTTATTGGCGTTAGTCAAAATCCGAATGGCACAAATTCCCAATCAGCATCGTCGAGTAGTACATCGTCCAATTCAACAACGAGCTCCTCAAGTTCGACTTCCACCAATCAAACTCGATCATCTGATCAAAACACGAGTGATTCAAGCGATGAGGCTTCTTCAAATTCGTAAGCGACTTTTTCATATTTGAAAAAAGATAGCTTTTTTTACATTTGTCCTATGCTTACTTTCATTATTGTAGGCAACAAACAACTAGCCCACAAACATTAGCTGAAGTTGTTCAACAGATGCGTACAGTTCAAACGCGCCTTGAACCATTTATACAACAGTACTACGATATTTTACAAAATGAACCGACGTTTGAAGAAAATGTAGGATTTAAAACTATTGTGTTTTTTGTGAATAATCAAGAAATGGCTTTCCATAAACGATATATGATTCTTTTTCTTTCTTTTTTTTAGGATACAAGCGCACGCGAAAGTGCACAGCGTATCTTTGATCGTGTTTCTGAAGCTCTTCATTACTTTTCGCATGCTCAACATGCCATCAGTGATTTGATGTTAGATTTATCATCAAATACACCAAGACATCTATGTTGTCGCCCAATATTGGTCGAACAATCTGCTTTTGTTAGCTCTGGTTTCGCCATACCGAGCATGATTCATCATATACCACGCCGAACTGATGCAAATGGAAACAATAACACAAATAACAACAACAATAATAATACTAATAATAACAACAATAACAACGCTACGGCCAACAATAATGCTTCGCAAAATACAAATGATGGGGCTGCTGTAACCGAATCAACTGCAACACGTCGAACCAACGTATCCAGCGATACCATTTCGCAATCATTGCGCTCAGGTAGCAAATGATTTTTTTTTTTCAAATCAAACAGACAAGTGTCGGTTTGATTTTCTTCATTGTTTGATTTCGATTCGTTTTAATTTATTTTTACAGCTGCAACTCAATTTCCAGTGGCACGTTTGATTCAAGCCGTTATGGATTCGGTGCCTGCAAATGCAGATGTTCATGTTGAAATCAATCAAAATACACCCGTTGGATTTGAATCACAGATTGAGATTCAACCACAACAACAACAGTCAGCAAATTCAACAAGTTCAACAACGACAAACACCAATTCCGAAACAGGTAATTCAATTTTCATATCACGATGCTGGCATTCATTGAGCCTCTATAACAAATTAACATACTATTTTTTTCGGCTCCAGAAGGCAGCCAATTCAGAGTAACAACAGCTACGCATCCAACAACCTCAACTCAAACACGGTCTACTGCACGACCACATGCCACCACTGGTATACCAGTTGGTCAAATTCGAAATTTGCGACCAGCAATGCAACTCTCGTCATTCGACCGTTACTTACCGTGCAATAGTCATCATATTCACGAGCCAGAAAATCAGCAGCAACAACAACAGCAACAACAACGACAATCCCAGCAACAGTCGCAACAACAACCACAACCACGCGCCAATCGTATAAACATTCAACGCACACCACAAGTTCATATTCAACGTTCTGTTCCGAATTCGGTTCGATTTGCAAATTTCCTTAGCAATCACCTACAAAACCAATTGCAACAACGATCGACTGCAGCACCAGCAGCTGTGTCTAGTGCACCCACAACGCCTCTACAAACATCGGCACCATCAAATGCATCATTGTCATCAAATAGTTTGAACGATTCCCAATTGAATACAGTCATCCCAATATTTGGTTCGAATGAAATTCAATTGCAGATCCGCGATTTGGTCAATGTATCACCCACCCCAACAACATTGAATCGCATTCGAAGTGAACTGCGTGAATTTTTGATGGTGAAACTATCGTTAAACTCAAGTCCGAGCGAAGAAAATGTTGCACTGGTAATTAGATCAAAATATTCTCTCTCTCTCTCTTTCCTGTGTATTTGTAAAATTACAAATTTTATTTAATTTTCTTTTTTTGAAGGCGGTAAACCATGTGATTTCACTTTTGAATCAATTCTTTTTGATGTTGCCGGAATTGAGCATTCCCGACTATGATGCAAGAGCTTCAATTGAAAATTTAATGCGTCGAACATTGCCAGTTATGATCCGTTTAATTCGAGATGATGAATCAGTTGAGTTTGGTACTCAGATGCTGCATGAAATTTCCGAATTTTCGAAAAAATTCATTGTAATTTTGTTGCATTCAATTGGCCGCCCCAGTGCTCAAGACTATCTGAAAAATGTGGTCGAAGCCATCTTCACAAGTATATTTGCAAGCGCTGGTAATTTAATTAAATCTGATTTGTTAGTGTCCTTCGTTTTCAATCAATTGCATTTTTGTTCATCTATAGCAAATGAAGATACGTCACGGGTCGCCTTGCAGTGGTTACGGCGCCATATAAATGATGAAATTTTACGCCGATTCCAAGATATTCGATTGGATTCAATAGATGTGATTGAGTTTTTGGTCATTCGTCGACCGCCACCACCGACGCCAACAGATCAACGTCCAGGCGATTTAATGGAAACAGATGCCGATGATGAAACAAACAACGAAACAATGAACGCCGAAGCAAATGAACCAGCCGAAGATGTCGAACCATTGCCCACAATTACATTCGGTTCAGAAAGTTGGCACAGTAATTTTCCAGCTCCTTGGTTACCAATCATTACACGTGATATATCACGTCAACGACGGCAGGTACTTATTGAATCATACTCAAATTAATTAAACAATTTTCAATAAAATAACGTCTTTTTTTGTAAAAAAATAAATTTTCCGAATCCACAGAGCCCACAAAGACCATTCAGTGATGCATATCTTTCGGGAATGTCATCAAAACGTCGCAAATTAATAAACAACTCAAAACCAGCAGCAGCTGAGCCAAATAACATTTTGCCTCAATCAGTGCGTCACGTGTTGCAATCACGCATATCACATGGTTCGAGCGGTGCATCTACATCATCGGCATCCGTTGCAAGTACAGCAGCTTCAATAGACGATGCTATTTCCACAAATCAACACATTAACGAGCCATACGGATCATACGAAACGGCCATTTTAAGTCATGTTCAAAATCGAATTCGAACCGACACCAATTTCACGCCCGAACGTTTTCCAAACTGTTCCAAATGGATTAATAAAAATAAATAGGAATAATATAATGTCTGATTTAAGTCCGCTGACAAGAATAATCCACTTCAATAATGAAACTGACAACATTAGATGACAAATCTCACAACTATTACCAAATACTATTAAAACGATGAAAATTAACAAAAAAACAAAAAAAAAAAAAAAAAAAAAAAAAACAAATAAAAAAACGATAGCAACACCATTCCTTGGTGGTCGCTAACCTCATTCAGGCAGTGGCTTTATCAGCGGACGAAATTTAACTACTTTATCATATAAAATATTTATGATATAGAAATTTGTTTATCGTTTTAAATTCTTGTGAAAATTCGCAACAAATTATTAATTTGCAAATGCATAAAGCAAAAAAAGGGACAATTGATTGATTTATTTCGTTAACTTAATTCGAAAAAATAGAACATTTAAAATTTAAAACTAAAGATTAAGACCAACGAAATGTGAACCGCAACAAATTAAATGCAAAAATATTTAGCAACAATAAAACCGTCTTTCTTAGGTTGTATTTTTTTAAATTTTTCAGATTTTCATGCATCATTATTACTACCAACTATGAAATAATTGTACATATACGATAATTTGCATTTGGCCCACTCAGCGATTTATTTAAGTTTCAATACATTCAACAAGGAACAAGGACAAGAGAGAAAGAGAAAGAGAAAACTTTACCCATTTATTTGTTGATCGTAAATTTCGGTTCAATGTTGTTAAATATTAAAATATTGTAATTAATTTTCAACTAATTGTTCAGCGATACAACATAGTGATTATATGGGAATTCTTTCTAAAACGCAACTTAAAAACTCCTAACACAAGAAAAAATCGTTATCGACGTACTTGGTGCTTCCAAGTTTTCTTCATCGTGAGGTTGTACGTTTAAACATTTTGGACCAAATTGGGAACGATTGAAAAGCAGCTCCTCTTGGCAATGTTCTTGAGGATTTTTTGACTCGAAATATTAAAATTTTCACTTGGCTCGTGAAACGAATGGCTAACAAGTGCTATGTCACTGTAGAGAATTCAGTAGCAACAAAGTATTAGAGCAAAAATTGATTTTTTACTTCTATTGATAGCTGCTGTTCATCTGCAACTGAAGAATTTGTGGCACACACAACAACGTTGATTGAACAATTTTGAGCCAAAGTCTGAATAACGGTGATTGAATATGATTTTCTTTAGTTTTTGTTTTCATCCAATCCAATCCTCTTGCACGCAACACGAACCACCTGCATATGATCAGTTGCAGCATCAGCGTCATCAATATTAAATAAATAGTACAGCTTGATCTAAATTTACACTCTGTACATAAAATCTAATAATTACATTTCCGTTGAAAAGAATATTAATCAGTTTGTTTTGTTTTAATCTAGTTTCTATTTTTTTTAACATGAATTTTTATTTTTAATTATATATATTTCATTTGAAATGGTCTATGTAGCAGAAACGGCATCATTCGGTATTTGGTATTTCTGGTGGTTCCGATAGAACTAAGTGCTCATTTCGTTGAAGTGACGTATCAATATTGACCTGCGAAAATGTTTCATATATGTAGTTATCTGATTCTGGGCTTTTTGAAACCGAATTTGATTCCATTTCACCCAAAACAATTTCAGCTATTGATGGTGATGGTGATGTAGATGGCACGGATGTTTCTAAAAACTCTGTAGTTTGTGGTATAGATGATTTGAGGTCGGGTGACTCTAATACTGTCATATTTTCCAATTTATTATTTAGATTCACTGAACTGGAATCGGTGTCATTTACAGCATTTAATGGTTCTGTAGCTGGTTCGGTTGCTTTGTTCACGGTATTCGATTCAATCGAATCATTTGAACTTTCCACATGAGTAACAACGATGTCAACATTATTCTCGTCGGGATTTGGAGCAACGATTTCAGTTGTTGTTACTAACGTTTCTTTGATCGGCTCTTCACTTGTTGCAGATGCTGCATTTTTGAGTGAAGACAAAATCAAGGACGGCACATCACTAGCGGGTATCACATGTTTTTTATCGCTGTTAATCTGTGTCTCATCTCTCATATGTTCTGGCGTTTGTTCTGGCGATTTATGTAATATGGATGGTTCTGGATTTTGTTCATTAATATTGTCATTTTCTGGTGTTAATTCGGGAGTTAATTCGGGCGTCAATTCTGGCGTTAGCAATTCTTCATTTGGCGGAACGAAAACCGATTCAATAATTGGAAATTCTTCTTCTTTTGGAACGATACAATGTGCAATGCCCAACAATCGCGTTTCCTGAACTTCCATCAATGCGAATAACTTTGACAGTTCGTCCATGCACAGAATTGGATTTTCTAATTTTAAGTTTGAAAAAAAAAAAAAACAAACAAAAACAACAACAACAATATCATTTATTTGAACACATTGAACGTAAAAAGTGTCATGACACAAACCTTGTAGCAATATCTCCAATTTGTTGATAACTCCATGGCTATTGCAATGTGTTTTAGCAACAAGCTCCGGAGATATGTGTGTTATATGATTATTTGATAGATCAGCAAAGCATAAGCCAGGCAAACCATGAAAATCGCGCTCCAGTTTAGATATATTATTATATGAGCAATATAGTCTCTCCAATTTCGGAAGGAATGCCTATTAATTATCAACAAAATTAAGTAAAAAGATTATTGTAAAGAAGAAAAAACAAGATAAAACTTTTATACCATAGATGTGTCTTCCAGTGTCTGCAAATAGTTGTGTGAAATGTCCAATGATTCCAAATCATCTAAACCGATCAAATCGTTCTGGGATATCCATTTCAGTTTGTTATATGATAAATCGAGTGTCTTTAATCGATTCAGATTTAACGTAGCACCGTCCAATGTCTTCAAGAGATTGTGATCCAGACGCAATTCGATGAAATAAAGATCTTGATCAACGACATTCTCCAAGCGACCGCTCAATCTTTCGATATGATTGTGTGATAAATCGACCACTTGTAGTTCGGTCAAGCCACGAAATTCGTTCAGTGAAATTTCCTCAATGTGATTCCGTGAAAAGTTACAGATACGCATTTTTTTCAATGACAGCAACGAATTGTTCAGATTTCGAATAAAATTGTTGGCCAAATCAAGCTCTTGTAAATCCATTGTGTAGAGAAATTCATCGTTAGCTAAGTGATCAATTTTATTGTTGTGAGCCGACAATGTTTGAATATATGAAGCATTTTTAAATACACCATTTAAGCTTTTCAATTCGTTATCGGATACATACATTGCGTCTAAATACAAAAATTTCGTTAAATCTTGTGGTAGATTTTGCAATTTATTATGATGAGCAACCAATGATTTAAATGATGTTGATTTTATGGGCAATTCACCATCCAGAGTTTCCAAATTGTTTTCATTTAAAAATAAAACGTCCATGCATTCAATATCGCGTAATGTTCCATTTAAAGATGTTAAATTATTTCGGCCCAAATGTAAAAATCTCACCGTTTTTGGAATCGACTCTTTTTCGAGAAGCTTTAGGTTATTGTTGACCAAAATCAAATATCGAATTTCATTCAAATTTCGAAAATCATCGCTGAATATTGTTTTTATACGTCCATGTCCCAGATCCATCGTGACGATCTTTGGCATATGCGCAAATATGTGTCGCGGTATCTCTTCCAAATGATTATCGGATAAACTAAAGTAACCCAAATTGCTCAAATTTCGAAATGATGACTCTGGAAGTGTTCTAAAATTTAGAAAGAAAAAAGGACATTTTTTTAAAAAAATAAATTGATTAAACGTATACATTAATGCTGTTTAATTAAAACTAATATTATCTATAATGTATATTGCAAATCATTGCAATCGATTGAAACGCAAAAAGTGAGTCATGAATCATGACACTTCCTTAATTCTATTCAACGTGTTATTTTGCTTTATCAATCCATCGACATGTGTATCAAATTATTTGAGTAATAAAGTCAGCATCGGGTCGTTTACATTTAAATATTTTCAAGATCATAAAATAATTCTACTCATTGGCTAGTACCCAATAATGCAATTATTGTTCGGCGAATTATGGCATCAATTTGATTCGGAATACCTATTCCCAGAAAATTCAATTCCTAGAAATGTGAATTAATTTGTAAAATACTGTCTCTATATGACGTACATTTTAGATGATTGATACAAAAACAAAAGTATTCTTCATTTTTTCTCCCTCTTCACATAAACGTCTAATATTTGAATTAGTTTAAAATATTTGTAACGTCATACTTTCATTATTACGATTCTGAATGAAATAATCGAAAACTGGGCTACACATGTTTGTAGTGATGAAAATAGTAGAAAAAATCTACTATTAAAAAAAATGAAATATGGAAAAATGAATACACTGTTCGAAAGTGTGTATGTGTGTGTGTGTGTATTTGTACATAGCTGATAAGCGATAAAGAATAATCAATTATCTAGCACTGAGCTGAGAGCAATAATAACAAATTTGAATACAAAAAAAAAGTGTCGCCCGACAAGTCACCATTCTAGACGCCATTTGATTGCTTAGGTCACACACTCTCAGTCTACGGACACTACACATTGCTCGCAACCAGCATCCGTTTACAAATCTATCACATAAAACGGTACAACACATGCAATCGATTTGAAATCATTTTGAATTATCTCCTTTTGTTTTCTTTTGGATTCAATTAAGAAAATCTACATTGTTTATGTACAAAACTGAAGTGAGAGCGAAAAAAAACACGCACACACACACACAAATTAATTATAGGGAAACCAAATGCCACCACAGATCATATTCGATGAAGAATAAACAATTAATGTATTTAAGCAGCGGACAAGACTTGGCAAACTGAAAATATATAAACCATTCGCAGCAGGCATATGTAATTGATTTAATTCTTAAATGCATTGAATAAATAAACAACATGAATTGGTATGTAACAAATCAAAACGAAATTATTCACACATTCAGTGTGTACTCCTTTTTTTTCTCTTAGGTGTCACAGATGCAAAGTAAAGAGGACTCATTCAGTCGAAGGAAATAAACAATAGATTTTATTTTCTCGATATTTACTATTTAGTTTATTGGACACACGCAATTACGCGTATGATGTTTATTTGTCAAATAAACAGAGATCACGCTGTGTATGGGTGCTTGTTTGTCTGTGTTGTTTGCATGTTTTTGCATGAAGTCATGATTAAAGCTAAAGTCGCACACAATTTATATTTCATCACCGTGACTTTGTGGCGAAGGGATATTGCAACAGATCAAAATATTCAAAATTACAAACAAAACAATGTGTAATGAGCCGCAGAAACTAAGGATGGTCGCTTAATAGCAAAAAGCATAGAACCCCATTGAAATGGTTGGAAATTTAATTATTTCGGCAAAGAACGATTTCATCGCGCTGGTGCTGGTGGATGAAGGACACACAACCATAATCGAACATCCAATGCACAGTCAGCTGTCAATTGACTCATAATGAGAATATTGTTCGAAAATCAAACGTCAATAATAAATGAACTTGATAGTATGAAGAGATTTTTATATGAGCAAATATTCATATATCTGTATATCTATAACAGTATTGAATATTATCTCACTGTACATACGTAAAAGCAAAAGAGTTATAGGTGCGCTATCAATATGTAGTTTGAAATATTATATCGTACACATATATACATATTGATAGGTATATCGTATATAGATATATAAATATAATTTGTCACACGACCTATTTGATCTATGACCTCGTTGACAACAATTGATCCCCATTTAAGCTATGTACCATTAAAGAGACAGCGGTGTGCGTCTGTGGTTAATGTTCAATATACGTACATATTTGCGTTCGTGTGTGATGAAATAATATGTTCATTTGAACTGATTGTGCGAACGAATATTTGCACTGAATCAAATATAGATTTTTACTTGCTTTTTTCCCTCTTAATCAAGCATCTCATCAGACTGTAATTATTTTTATGCAAAAATTCATTGCAAACATAGTTCAAAAAAATATAAATATTTTCCAACAAACGTACATGGACGTTATTTTTTTGAATGTTAATTATTATTTTCATAAATAAATAAAAGCAGACATTTTATCAGACAACATATGTTCGTGTGTGAATGTATGTGTGTGTGTATTTCGTGTGGCGCCAAAATTTGTTACGCAAATAAAACTGACCACTTCTGGTCAACGAAACTTCATTGCATCGACAATGAATGAAAATGATTTAATTAACTAAGATGTGTGTCTCTGTGTGTGTGTTCAATTTTAAGCCTAGGTTTAAAATTGTTTTGATGTTGTTTTGTTTTTAATTTTTTTTTTTTATTTGCTTTTGTCATAGTTCAAATAACGCATTGTCATGACAGATGTGCAATTATATCAGAATTTATATATTGTAACATCAAATCCGTTTACATATTCATACCACAGGTTGTAATTGAATTGTAAAAACTATCGATAGTTTGTCTTGAATATGCACTTGCAGTGTGAACAACAATGCCTGTTCGCAAGAGTTTCTTCACTTAACCTTTTTTAGAAAACTGAAGTCAACCATAACATAGTTGCACATCATAGATGATAACACTTATCAAGTATTAATAATTCCAAGTATAAAGTTCAAAAGAGAATCAACACCAATAGCGACAGTAACAATAGCCAATGCGCACTAAGATTATATTAGCATAATCGTTTGGAAATGATGCTTGAAGTATTTATTGAATATATCGGACGATTTAAATGACAATAATGCTGCAAAAGAGAAAATGTGTGAAATTTATGTGTGGATTACCTTAAGTCATCGTAGTTGAGAAATAATTTTGTGATGTTCATATTCATATCCTTGAAATTCCTTGTCTCCAAATCATCAAGCTGTGACTTGGTGATCTTTAACCAGATATTATCTTTGTTGCTAAATTTATTTTGCAAAGAGTCAAATACTTGATTGAAGGAGGTCAATCCTTCGCATGTAACATGTATGGTGTTGTTGTATGTCTCATGGGGTGCGCACGAACAAGGCGAAATTTCCGGTCGCATGGAACAATGAAGGGATGCCACTTGAACCATCGACACCAGTGTGTACACCAATGATCCCATATTTCGTTAAATTCGATTTTTTTTCGTCGATTTTATAATTAAATAATTGTTATTCCGATTTCATGAAATCCGTTTTGTCGTTGCGTCGTGTTGTTCGTTAAAATTTGATATTTTTTTTAAGTCAATTTTAAATATTTTTTTTTAATCGATAGAATTTATTTTCGTTTTCATTCTGTATCAAGTATTTCACGAAAATTATGTTCTTTCAAAACACCAGATCTCTTTTTCGAACCAAATACGGTGATCTTCATTTAAATAACACACAAAATACAAATAATTCTCAAATGATAATAAAAAAAAAATTAAATAATCGTTTAAAACTTCATAAAAATTTAATTGAAAAAATAAAAACTTGTTTGACTTTATTTTTTTGGCTTTTTCTTGGAATTCTGCGCAATCTTTATTATCCGATCACACCAATTTGTATCGACATTTCTGACTGAGAATAGAAAAGCATCTAACAATTAACGGAGACTGACTAAAAAATCACTCAAATTAAATATTAAGTAAAAGAATTCTCCTTTGAATGTGTCTACATCACGACGTGTTCACGAACTGACTAAATATTGATACTGTATTTCCATTGGGATATAATACGAAGAGTGTGTAATACATACGACACATCGTACAGTACACACATACATTCGGTTCGGGCTCATCTGTAATAACGTTCGAGACGAAAAATATTTTCTTCTGGTTAAGGCGACAATAACAACAACAGCATTTGCAGTTACTAAATCAGTACATTACCACCACCAATAGCCGATAGTAAAAATCCCGTCTTAGAACTTTCCAATCATTTTTTTTTTTTTTCATATTTCGTTCGTTCGTACGTAACGAAGATAAGTGAAACCATTAGATCTGATGTGCTCTCTTCATGTAATAAACATAACCAAACTATAAAGAGGCACAGTCACACATGCAGGAACTGTATAGTTAGATACATTTGCACGATCTTCAATTGAAATAAAACATCCAGGGTTTTTCCAATGTTTGTTGTTGTCCATTTAATTATTTAAAGTTGTAGTCTTCCCCCCATTCTAGCCCCCATTGATGATGTTATATCATTAATTCGTTTCACTTATTTTCACGCACTGTTTTTTGAACTCATTAAAGAAGGAAATACAGATGATAAATATTTGCTAAAAAAAATTTGGGAAAAATGCGGAAAAAATGAGCCGAAATTGAAGAAAAGAGCATTGTAAATCAAAAATCCTACGCAACATGCCTACGTCAACAAACAATGAAAATTCGATTTAAATACAATTTCTTTTCCGATCCAATGTTGACTTGCGTTCACATGATTAATGACAAGAAGACATTATTTTTTTCTATTGCTGTGTTTCAATATTGTTTGCATCATGTTTTAATAATGTACCGTTATTTGCTTGAATCAATTTCATCGATACATAAAATAAAAATTTCTTCGTGTTTTATGAGCACAAACATTACGAGAACAATCAACATTATTCTTCTCACATTATATATGCAGCTTGAACGCATAGCGCCACATTGTCAATACATATAACGGTTTCAGAAAGAAGGATTCACAAGAACAAAGTATAGCATCCTTGGAATGTGAGCGCCAGCTATTCGCATTTTTTAATTTATAAAAAAAGCAGACATTTTTCAATTATAAAACAACAATGTGGCTTCTTTAAAAATAGATAGGTATATCATTGGAATGTATAAAATGAATCCGTTAATATGACATCAAAACATTTCTTCTATGAAGTCATTTTATTTTCTTTTTCGAATTGTGTTTGTTGATATCCCATTCGTTTGTTGATGAAAAACGAAAACGGGCAGTATTTAATATGCGCTTCGATGAAAAAATACAGAAAGAGAGAGAGAGGGAGCGAGAGCATGCAGCGAAATGAAGAACAATTTATGATGAGAAAAGTCTTGGAATATAGCGGGAGCAAAAACAGAGAGCATCATACAAATGAGTCAAGAGAAATAAAATTACAGTCCATCGACTCACCAAGAGGAAGATTGGCCAAGAAACAAATAATAAATACATTCAGTGTCACAAATATATGGCAACTTGACATGTTTAACCACATTATTGGATATTCACAAAAACTGTAAAATGAGAGTCATTATTATTATTATGCCAACTGAATGTCTCAGGCTAGGCGCCACTATCAATCTCTTTTGCGCAATATAATTTCTTTGCGTCTTCTTTCTTTCCTCCTCTTCGCTTATTGTACTATTTTGTTTCATTGAAATCCAAAAGTCCAAGTAGACAACAAAAAACTTGATGAGCAAATATTACAACAAAATAAATACATCATCAACAACGACAAGAACAAGAAGAAAAAAATCAACTGAGAAAAGACTCATTCAATTGGTCTTATTTATGAATTACTGAAACGATCTTTCACGAAACAAAAGGAAAAATGCAGTTTATCTTAATCATTTCAGCGAGGACAAATATAAACATTTAGTAAATCAAATTGTATCATTTTGTAGAGTCATAATTAAAATGCCAGCCACATTTCACCGGCAAGCGAAAAATGAATAAAATATACTCATTAATTTGTGCTGCGTACAAGAAAGGCCACATAGAAAAACTAATCTCTCTTTTTATCGTCTCTTTATATGTCGACGAAAACGATCACATTATTACGCATGGACCTCATGAAATCGACTAATGGACGTTAGAACAATTTATATGTATACAGAGTGTCATTTTTCTCGCATTGCATTGTGATGCAGAAGAAAACTTGATATATCGCCATAAATTTCAGAATGAATTTTCGTTTTCGAACAAAAAAAAAACACTGAATAATCAAGTCTTTTGACTAAATAGTTTTTAAAATTGTCCAAAATCTGCGAAAGTGTCTCGCGTCAAAGAGAGGACTTTTTTGCTATTAAAATCTCATTCTGTCTAGTGTAAATCCACTCAAGAGGTCTTGATGGGTAATTTTCTTGGTCAAAATTTATGCCTTCAACATTTCGTAATTGTCAGATTTCTAGAGGCGATGAAATATTGTTTCAAAATCTCATTCAACGTAGTGTTAAATTCTCGAATTCTGGCCAAAAAACCAACGAGAAATCCATATAATTTTTCAAAATCTATGAGGATGAAGCTCAAATCTAAAGTAATGAATTTTTTAATTTCTTCTGGTCACCTTAAGTTTTCACGACACAATATTATCTGTATATGTGTGAAAATTAACTGACCAATCTGTAGTTTTCTTCTCGAATCGAATAAAAAATATATTACCAAAAAAGAGCCAAACGGCGTAAATGAAGTTTGTAAAGGAGGAACGCGATGCACATTTAACTAGTAGAAGGACGCTGTTGTAGTATTTTTAATTCCTCTGGTAAATTCATTTACATTTTTCAAGAAAATAATAGTGAGTTTAAAAAGTTGAATATCAATTATGATAATCCGGCTTTTTCGTATAGCCGAGTACTATATGTAAATGTAAAAGATTCCGGATGATTTTTCGTTCTAATTTTTGTAAATTTTTCTATTTGTGAGGAAGACGTGGTTGTATTATTTAGCCATATTGGTGGCCATCAAGATTTAAAATTGTTTTCGGGTAGTTTATTTGTACCACGCATAACTCAAGCAAGGTATCAGCCATCAACTTGAAACCGATTGATATTGATTGAAGACAATGAATTTCTGTGTATTTTCGTGAATTTTTAGACGAAAGTCGATTTTTTCTTTTGCGATATGAGATTTTTTAAATCACCTCCAGAATTTTTTTTACGTTTATGCATATTCTGAAAACATGACTTTTTTTCTATTCACAAATATTTCATCGAGTAAAATAGAATAAGATAATTCGCTTGAAACTTTGTTTTCTTCTGTAAAAAAATTGAAATTTTGCATGTAACAGTGACATTGCTGGAGCCGTATTTAATTTGATATATGTTTACTACATCGGTTTTGACACTTGACTTGTCCGCGTCATTTTTTTACTCCAATAAAATGTTATTCAGGACTACTTAAAATGCAGATACGTTACTTTATTAAACGAATTGATTTATTTGTTTAATGATAAATTCATCGGTCGGCGATGTGTTCATAAGTAAGTATGAGATGAAAAATCATTCGGAAGTTTTAAGGAAATTGTCAATGACTTCGAGACAAAGGCATTGATAAACAATAAACATGTTACGTAGCAGATACATGCGATGCCGATGAGTGTTAAACCAAAGCTATCTAGAAACGTCTAATTCTAGCTATTTAAATGAATGCACGAGAATTTGTTGAGAGTAAAATTGTCTTTTTTGCTTACGTCTTTGGCGCCACATGGATCAAACAATATGCGATTTTATCAGCATCTTATCGAACGTTTGGATGCCAGACATAACGATAAAATGCCACAAAGGAATATTTTTAAATATTTTTCATATGGTTACCATCAATAAATAATATGATTTATGCCTATGGATAGAACAAGCAATTACTTAAGTTTGTTTGAATTTAAATTGAACTTTCATAGTGACGTTGAAGCAGCAATTCCAATTTAGTCATTTGACGTCATTTTCATGTGTTCGCCGGAATTTTAGTAAACAAAGCACTTCAGAATTATAACGTTAATTTGTTGCGGGCAAAAAAAATCACATTCCACAGCAAATGGTGTTTTTTTTTTCCTCGTTCTACGAACATTAAAAATCATTCAAAACAAATCTCTGATGAAAAGAGACACATAGACGAAGCACTTCGTTTTGAGTAAAATTTATTCCACAAAAAAAAATCCTCAAACTTAATCATAATTTAATAAATATATCTTATGGAAATTAACTGAGTCCATTTTCGCGCTTTGCATCAATATATTTGAAATAATATTATTTTGTTTTGGTTATTGACGCAATTTCGGTAGCGTTAACAAATTACAAGTAGTTGTTGTGAAACGTGCCTCACTTCTAAATAAAAATTGTTCGGTCTTTCTTTCGCAATCAAATGAAACATTTTATGAATTAAGTTAACAAAATTGCTTGAGTTGTATTTTAACAAATCGAAGACGTTTAGATATTTTAAATATTTATTCAAAAAAAAAAATGTTAGCGTTAATTCAAAAAAAAAAATGCAAATAATTTTGCAATTCGCTGCATAGAAAAGTGAAACATTATTTACAAAAGCAAGCCGTTGAAACCAAAAACGAGAAAAGGATTTTTTTTTATTCATTTTCCGCTAAACATTTATATGTACATGGCCATAGGCGAAAAAAGGAATTACATGACATACAGCTCCCATCTAAATTTAATTTTTTTTGTTTTGTTTCAAATGAAACTTCATAAACGGTAGTGTGACATTTTTCGAAAGGAGACGATTTTGTTTGATGGGATTTAAATGATTTCACGTAAATTTTGAACATGTTCTTATGAACATGTTCTCAGTTTTAATGAGAAAAAAAAACAAGAGAAATACAGCTGATGTAATTTCAAATTGTGACATGATTTTAGTATTTGAATAAAGTTGATGTGATGAGTGTCAGGTTTTGTTCTCCTTTTTTAGCCTAACTCTACGGAAATATGAAAATAAATTATTCAATCTTCTTTTTTTACGTACAATCCTATTTAAACTGAGATAAAACCTACTGGATCTCTTAATATCTATTGCGATACTTTGAAATTTTTAAGAAATAGACAAAATGTATAAAGGGCTTTTGCTTAATTTGTCGTACGTCTCCCGTTCATATTTTCACAGTATCACCCATCAAGTTGCATCGATTCGGTATTCTTGTTCTGTTCGCAATTTTTTATGACCATTTCGGCAAGTGCTTTTATTTTATCATTGGGCCTCTCATGCTTCATCAATTCTTTTAGTAGTTCTAGACCGTGCTCTTCTTCAACCAATTTGCAATACTTTGATGGATAAACCTGTGACAAACAGAAGAAGAAATGAAAAACAATTGTTAATATTGGATTTGCGAATTGAAGTAAATGGATTTTGTTTACGAACTTTTGTGAGATTTGCCAAAGCCCAGACTGCCCAATGTTGACATTCAGGTGTTTCATAGCAACGAACTAAACCTAGTATTGGTTCAAAACTTCTATAGTTGATGTTACGTTCCGTATTCAAATTCCATCGTTCGATTGCTTTTGACATTCGATTTAAGACCTCATCCCTGCTTGGTGTATCAATTGTCCAATCTAATGGACCATCGGATGCAATGTGCGCTAATACCCCGGCCGCATTATAGCTCACCTGTACAATTCGTAGATTCAAAAATTATAACATTTTGCAATGCACCGTGCAGGCACCATACGGCAATCGATGCCAAAACATACCTCAATTCCATCACTATCTGAGTCAAGTAGATTGGAGAAAACGGTTATGAATTCTGATTTCATTAAGCGATTTCGCAAATGCTTCACTTCAGCAACATTTCCCACCAGACCCATCATGTTCCGAAGGAGTTCTTCTTTGTCATTGAAACACTAAGCAAAATTTAAAATCGATTTTAATTGATTTGTTTGTTGTTGCCATTGCTTTTTAGATTAATAAAACACATACTTGCAAGCATTCCAGAAAGTATTCCATTCCTCGTCCATCAAGAAAACGTTCGCAATTAATAGCCGTTTCATCGGTCACATTCCACATTGTTGACCAAGCCACCTCCATAACGTCATCAAATACTTGACGTGTTAAACGGTCATATATTAAGGTTAACATGGTCTAAATTCAATGTTAAATATTGAAATGTATTAGAGTTTTCGGTGTTTATTTTAATTTATTATTTCAATCAATTTAATAATACTAACGCCAATCGCCCCGAGATCACCGAGAAATAGCTTCTGTTTTCCATCAACCAAACAAGCTAACGAATTAAGTAAGTAAATGGCTATTCTTTGAACGAATCCTTCTTGTTCTGTGTCCGAAACGGCATGCAGTAGAATTTTAACCAAACGCTCGTATTCAAATAACTTGGAAGAAACGAGAGAGAGAGAGACAAAGACAGTTCATATTTATTGATGTTGATTGATTGATTTTATTGATTGCAGTGGCATGAAAATAATGATGTAAACTTACGACGTCATTCGGAATTGAAAATTGGCAAAGTGTAAGGCAACCGTTTCGCATCATAGTCTACGTAAATAAAATTTAATATAATATTATAGAAAAGTTGGCCTTTGCTGACTGTGAAAATGGATATATTGAAACTAAGTTTGTGTAAAAATGTTGGTTTTCATAAATAAAAATGAAAAAAAAAAAACCATACAATGATTTTTAGATAGGATAGATGCGAAAGATCTCCGCAAGATCCAGATCCAAGCGTGCGTACGCTGCCGCATGATGCATACATATTTGGTGGTTCAATAAGTCTTTGGCCTGACAACCAGGTCGTGTCACTAATAAAAAATCTCTTTATTTTTTAAAAGTACCATCTGTCTCTAGACTACTGGAAAAATTTCAGACGAATCCGTTCACGGACCTATAAGTTACAGCGCTTGAAAGAGACCAACCTCTAGTTTTTATCGAAAAATGGAAAAAAAGGAATTCGATTTTTTAAATCAACAACAATTTTTGTAAGACAAATCTATCAGCAAAGCTTAAACTAAGCTTGGTGATATTGTTAAGAACTCTCTTCTATCTACTGGAGCTAGTAAGAAGTTCTATATTACTTTTGCATGTGGTAATACAGGCAACGGAAAACAACTACCCCAAAAATGTCTCTTTTTGAAGAAATGATTAAAAAAATCCAAGATCTTGCTTTGAGGGTCTGCAATATCCTAGTGAATAATCCAGAATAGATCCGAAGCATCACGTGGAACAGAACATTTCGATATATCAGTCCAACATTTGTGCAAGAAAACTTCACTTGAACGGAGGCTGCCGCATTTGTTCACAATGGTTTTGAATGGTAGTTTTATTGCGATGTTTTAAGCATTCTATGCACAAATAATGTAAATATTTTTGTTAATAATTAATTAGCAGTATCCTACAGAACCTATTCAATCCATTTTGGGATAAGGTATAGTCTACACGGTCATCAAAAACCGATATGTCCGCAAAAAGCCATATAATCCCTTTTTTTGTTCGAGCTCGCGTTTTGTGGGACCGTGTCTTCGAAAATATTGTTTTATCAACTGAAATAAGTTGGAACGGTGCCAAATGATTAATTTATGTCATTTTTAAATTTTTTGAATCAAAAAATTACTGTCTTGAGAGACAAAAAATATATTTCAAAATTTTCACAACCTGGTGTCTCTCAAAGCCAAACAGGTGATATTAATTTTCTATGACTTTGATAACGAATCGCTTTGTTATTTCCGATGTGGCTTGGTGGGACCTCTATCTATGCTCTGAGTGGAATAATAGTGCAATATAATTCCTTCCCTTCCGAATAAAGTAATAAAATATTGAAATAAGGTGTATTTTGAGGTTGGTCTCTTTCAAGCGCTGTAACTCATAGGTCCGTGAACGGACTCGTCTGAAGTTTTTCCAGTAGTCTGGAGACAGATGGTACTTGTACAAAATAAAGAGATATTTTATTCGTGACACGACCTGGTTGTCAGGCCAAAGACTTATTGAACCACCAAATATATAATACGCACGCAAATTCGTTATTCTTATTTCCCCTTCTTTGATTCGCATGCCATAGCATTAGGAGTAAGGAATGTATGTATCATGCGGCTACGTACGCACGCTTGGATCCGGATCTTGCGGAGATCTTACGGATCTATTCTATCCAAAAATCATTGTATGAAAAAACACAATATTGACATTGCTCAGTCCAACATTTTCTGTTCACCGTCCATAACATTTGCAGTGTCTAAAAATCAAGCGAAACAACTAACCTCGTCTGTTATATGAGTTGACATGCCATTCAACAAGGTACGTATTATGTGATTCTTAAATGGTGTACCATATTTGTGTTTATCTCTTCCTTTGATTATATAATAAAGTGTCGCACTGTAATGGAGGAAATAAACAGATAAATTACAGAAAAACCATCGATCTTTGTTTCAATTAATGACGATTAATTAAAAACATTACCTTCCAGATATTTGCATATGTTTAACGCGCAAATGTCTGTCCATTGCTGACAAAACTACTTCAAAAGCTCTATGAATTGATTTACAAGTTTCAAAACGCAGCAAATGATATAAATCGTTTAAAACCTGATACAGAAAAAAAACGACAAACATTATTATATCAATTTTTAATCAAACCCGAGTGGAAAAAAAGTGACTAAGTTACTATTGACTGTAAGTGACTAAAGTTAGCTATATTCATGAATTTTAAAATTTTGTATGGAAAACAATCGACTATAGTTACTCAGTCAGTCAGGCGATTATTTTGGGACGTTTCGACTATCGGGTGACTATGATTATTGTCAACTATAGTTAGCTGTTGCAATTAACCATAGCTTACTTTAATTGATTGAAGTTAACTAAATTTAACTAAGGTTGCTTGTTTTTACAGTCAATAGTCAGTCAGTTTGTCCCAAAATAGTCAGTCACTTTTTTTGTACACGGGAATGTTTCGTAGACACCAGAGGTTGTCGATCAGGGCTTCGAATTGTTTCGGGTCTGGCAGGATTCGCTCTGGGTGCCCGGATTTTATTCTTGGATATTTCGAGCGTTCGGTATCATTGGCGCCTACTAGACAACACACAATAGTTATCAAAATTCAATAAATTTACCTTTGTTAACATAATGGGGCGATCTCTGTAAACTGAGGCGGACGTTAAGATTTGCTCCTCATTTGCATCGCCAGAAATCTATAATTAATGGTGGTATATTATGAATGAGATTCGGAGATTTCATTGTATTTATTGGTTAACTACGATCAAAAATCTTACATGACGTGCTGGAATATCATGACGACGACAAGCTGAATGAGCTGTATTATAAAGACCTAAGAATTCCAATGGTCTGTTGGCTCGACTTACTAAACCCGGAATATCTGAACGCACTTGTTCTTTTGCTTCAAATTGAGCGACACCGTTTCCAGCCAAATTTGTTCCCGATATATCGAGATGTGTGAGGTGTGGCAAACTTTCAACAATTTCCGCCAATGTCTAAATAAAGCAATTTAATTAATCATTTGTTTTTTTTTTGTTCTTCAAAAATAATATTCCATTGCGAATTAAATAATTGTTTATCAATTTATTCACCTCATTGGGATTCTTGAATGTTCCATAGCTATTTGTATTGAAATAGCCTGTTGATATGTCAAGTTTTTGCAATGATTTCATTTTGCATATCGTTGGTAATTCGGTTTCCAATGGCCACACATTGAATAGGATAAGAGTTGTTAAATTTGGAAGATTGACTATCGCTTCCAATGTGAATTCGTTATGAAATGTGCATTGTGTCAAGTCCAAATAGCTAAGTTGTTGCAAATGGCTAAAATTTACAGTTGGCTGTAGCACAACACCAGTTAAAATAAGTTTTCTTATGTGTGGCAAGTCGAGTGTAAAGTCAAGCGGTGTCTTTTCATTTGGTTCGCATAATTTTAGCATATCAACATAACGACCGAGTTCCAAATATTCTAAATTTTGACCATGTTCGATTAATACTTTCCATGATTTATACGTAACCATGTCACAATACCACAGCGATAATGAAACCAAATCATGATTTAAAAGTATGGCCATTCCATCATCCGTAATTGAACAGTTTCGTAGAGCAATATGTTTTAACGGTGTCTTATGTTTATCACGGAAAATGTTTACAAATACGTCGTTTATATCTTCACTGCAGTCTTGGCGATATTTAAAAAATCTATCGAAATGCAAAGAAATGAGACGAGAAACGAGAAAAAACAACAACAACATATGATAAAATTCAAAGCCATAACATCGAGTTAATCAATGTGACAATATTGTATTATATATATATACCGTGAATAAATCAAATTCACTTTTCTTCATACATTGCGAAACAACAGATTAATACACAGCGATTGGATAGTTTAAAAGAGCGTCAAAATTTGAATAATTCATTTCGTATACATGGAGCTAGTGGTTTTTGGGTTAAGGTCACTCATCCATGTATATAACATCAATGATTTTTCCCAAAAACCAACGAAATGAATCCATTGTCAATATAAACCAAACACAAAACAAAATTTTCGATTTCTTCTTTATTTTTGATAATAAAATTAAATTCCGCATTAATTGTTGCGGAGAACAATTTTTTTTCCTCATCGTTTGACAGTTAAACTGCGATTGATAATGATTCCAAGCAAATTAATTGCACTCTCAACTGAAACCGATGGTATAATCTGTTGTACAAAATGTATGCGTAGAGAAAGATATGTTTAACACAAACCTATCACAAATTTCGTTCGGAATCACTATCTCCTCTCTAAGAGTGATTTCATTGCTAAACTCATTCTCCGTATAGAGCAAGTATAAATTTTTCGACAAACATTTGAAAACATTTTCGAGCAATGTTGGCAGGTCTTCGTCAAGAATTCCGTTTTCTTTAAGACTGACTTGTCCACTCATTGTTTTCAAAAATGTTTTGATAAATTTTTATTGTTGCTTCTTTGTTGTTGTTTCACTATCACGTTTTTTTTTCTTCTGCACTTTGTATGTGTTTTTGTTGCATGTACTTGTTTATCTGTCATCCAGCTGCTCGATCCGAATAAAAATCATGTTGCACAAATGAACAGTGGTTTTCCAACTAGAATTCAGGCCACTTTTTTTATTCCATTTTTTCAATTGATCAGAGTTGTTCGTTCTTTTTCTTTCTTTCTTTTTTGCCAATAAAATTCCCAGCTACCACCGAAACAATAAACTCAAAAGCGAATTGATAATAAACACAAACACTAAATTGATAGACACTCTGTATGTGATGAATGGCTATGAAGTAAATTTATTAAATGTTCGTGTGCTGCAATCAAATTTCTTAGATCATTTGCTATATACCACCATAGCAAAGTCGCACTTTTCACCAAATTTTATTCGTGAATTTTTTACATATTGCAAGTTTACGATACTTTTTAATTTTATAATCACAAACGATTCACGGTTAAAATGTTTTTTAACACAACATTCGATTCAATGCCAAAAAAAAAGTGATTGAAAACAAAAGATGAATATCAAAAGAAAATATTTATATTGAATCAATTGATGTTGACGGGGATCCCATCAAAATACCAGATGATTTGTCGCGCAAAATCGTTTTTATTCCAAGATAAATGGATGTTCTGCAAAAATTTTCGTAAATTTTGAACTTTTTAGCAGCACAGTGGAAAAAATAATATTACGTTCAATAAAAATTCAAAATTTCTTAATAATTCTTTTGACAGAAGTCATTAGATATAAATATAGTATATGCTTATATATACGCATTTATGTATGCTCTTTCTTTTCTTGTTGTTATTGTGCTTTTGTTTCGTTCAATTTATTTCGTGCACGTTCAACAAAACGTCAAACAATAATTCACCACGCTCATGTAACCTTGCTGCTGTCAAAATACAATCGAAATTTTTAAAACGTCTTGCAACATTCGATTATCATTTATCGCCCATTTTGCACCCCTTTTCTGTATTCATTTCGCAAAAAAAAATGTGTTTTTTTTTCTCTCCAAAATTATGAGATTGAAAAAAATTCAATAAATAAATTTCTCAAATGAAAAACTGTCACGGTTGAATTGAATTTAATTGAAATATTCACCACTCTGGCTCATAATATTTGACATAACCAAATCCAAGGAATGTGCGATAATAGTGTTCGAATGGGAACGATAATTCACATAAGAGGAAAAATTGGACTGGATTAATTTTTGTTTTTAATTATATGTTCTACAAATAGGAAGATTGAGAGCCGAAAAAATCTAGAAAATGTTATCTAGGTGTATTTCACGTGGTCCGATACAATCGGGTCGATTGTTTAAATCGGTGAATGTAAATCAATTTGGTTTATAAATTCAAGCTAAAAATCTTTCTTATTCTTAACCTAAAAAAAGTTGTGAATTAATTCAAAATTTTCTTTTAATTCCGACTCAAAATGAATCGGTTCAGTTGTTCACCAGAGACCATCATGTTATTGCTTGTGCTTCGACCTCTTCCACTGGCACAGAGAAACCCGCAAACAAATCACATAAAACATTTTTAAATAAAGTTGTTTTGAATCGAATGTAAGTGCTGCATGACTAAATGAGATGTAGATGATTGAGAATAAATTCCATAAAATTTTATAGATCGGTGCCATATTTTGGATCAAAACGAAACTTCAGCCTAACGCCCACCATATCGGCCAGTGCTGTGGCAACTGCAGAGACTAATACATCATTACAAATACCAGATGTTCCATCAACGCCTACTGCACCTCTTGAGGAAACTGTTGTACAAGCATTAGCTGCAAATGGTGAACCAACTTTCGCTTCACTTGGCTTAGGCGGTTACTCACCAATTGGCCTTTTACAAAATGCGTTGGAATACTTACATGTCTCCATGGATTTACCCTGGTATATTCACTTTTTCCTTGCTGTTGTAATCGCCTATGTTTTTCTATTGATTTATTCAAATTTTCTATATAATTGCATTTTATTCTGATCACATTAGGTATGTCACAATTGCATTGAGTACAATCATAATACGTACAATTCTGACACCAGTAGTGGTTATAACACAACGAAATGCAGCGACGATGCGTAATGTGATGCCGGAAATGCAAGAAATTCAAAATAAAATAACAGAAGCCCGTCAAATGGGCAATTCGGTTGAATACGCCCAATGTAACCAAGAGTTGATGCAATTGATGAAATCAAAGGGTTTCAATCCAATGAAAAATATGCTAGTACCAATTGCTCAGGCGCCAATATTTATCTCATACTTTATTGGTATCAGACGAATGGTAAATGCACCCGTTTGTTTTTCGATTATTTTAAATTAATTCTATTCTTCTCTTTTGTGATTCTCCCCTTAGGTAAATGCACCCGTTGAATCGATGCAAACCGGAGGTGCTTTGTGGTTCACAGATTTAACAATGGCCGATCCATACTTTTTACTACCGTTAATTACATGCGGCACACTCGCGTTGACCATTCACTTAGGCACAGATGGTGCAAATGTATCTGGCCAGTCAAGTCCAATCATAAATTATATTATAAAGGGAATACCAGTCATTATCTTCCCATTCATAATGAATTTCCCATCCGCCATGGTTGTTTATTGGGCATCGAGCAATTTTTGCTCATTAATACAGGTACATTGAAATGGACATAAATTGTGCCCAAAATCAGTATAGTTAATAATATTTCGGTTATTTGTGATTAAAGGGCGCTATCTTTAGAATTCCAAGAGTGAGAACATTTTTCAATATTCCACAACTTATTAAATACAATTTGCCACCAAAAAAGAAACAAAGTGTGGTCCAAAATGTTAAAGGAGGTAAGAGCGTTCATTTCATATGATAATGATACCAAAAACGGAAAGAGCAAAAATAAAGTATGCATAATTTTATCGTTTTAGCTTGGTCGAATTTGAAATTGTCCAGAGAAATCGAAGATCGTCGACGATTAGATCAAATTAATTTCGAAAAAGCTGGCACCGGACCATTAGTACGCACCTATAAATTTGATCCGACAAAAATGAAAAATTAATTCATTTCAAATTGGACTTATTATAGTGTTAAATATTTTAAAAGCTAAACAAAAAAAAATGATTAAACGAATAAAATGTATTTGTCTCTTATGTTTTTAATTTATTGAACTAAATTTGTGTAGAAAATTATGCTACACAACAATAAACTGTAGCCGAATAACAAAATTGTTAAAATATTTCTCAAATGAATAAATTATATTTGATGTAATCAGATGGCAATGCACTGATTGATAACATTTATAAGATTACTATTCTCCAATGCGGCCGCAACTCGTTCTTTATCAGCCAATTGCTTGTTCACAGCCAACTCTGACGAATGTGTACCGGGTGTTATTTCGACGGTTACTTTGAATCTGGGCGGTAATGATCGTAACAATTTCACTCGAATTGATAGTCCGATAAGCGTGGCCATGCTGCAGTGCGGAATGGTCGGTGTAAAATTGACGAATACTTCATTATTTTTATTATCAACTTTAATAAGACTTTGTTGAACAACATGCAATTCCTCCAACGTCAATGGATGCTCCGGATCATTAATGAGGCGAATTAGATCTGTTTACAAAATACATATATTGCATTCATCAGTCATATTGCATTTTATTCCGTTTTTGTTTTCTATTGAACATAATGCTTACCAAATATTTCACGTTCATCAAATGGGTCGTCTATATTGTCATCCCAATCAGCTGCAACCGATTTTCTGTCATCTGATTTTTTATAAACATTTGGATTGAGATTTTCGAGTTCCATGGCTCAAATTTATAAACAGTGAGCGTACAACGCAATTTCCAATGCAAATGAGCTGTGTTGGAATTGACAGTAAGACAAAAAAAAAACTACCACGGTTATGTTAATCACCAAAGTGGTAAGTGTCATTTCTTAAGTACGGCTCACACGTTCGATTCATTCTTACGATTTAATAGTTGAACATTTTTTTAACTTTTTTTATTAATTACACTTCGAAAAAACATAAAAAAATTCAGAATTCACTTCTATTTGTATTTTCATTTCACCAAATGCACATGAGAACAAAATAATTGGACGATATAAAATATAAAATTATGCATTTTAAAATCATATAAATGTGAACGACACACTACTCCCATATACAGATGTTTTGACGATGGATAAACAATAAAAAATAAAGAAATGTTTCGTTCAGTGAATACGTTTGTGTGTGCACTGAGCATATTCACTTTACGTGTGTGTTTGTGTGTATGTATGCATATAGTGTTGCTGTGAAGTAGACGCTTTCCCGAGAAATACACTTGCTTCAGTAAACATCGTTCAATGTACATCTGAACAACGTTTATTGGGCTTGTCGCCGCACTGAAAATGTAAACGAATTCTGTGGAGTATGCAGACTACATACAGACAGTTAAAATGTGCCATTTTCAAAAAACACAAATTCTGTTCGACTCAATATTTCCGAAAGAGATTTTTGAATTAAAACCAAATTAAAGACAACATTTGACGACATTTAAATTAAAGACAACTTCAATAAATGCTTTCGTTTGCATTTAAAAGTTCTTTTCCAACGCCAAGCGCTTATGTTTGAATTGTTTACGTTAACGTATCAATTGGTCTATTTTTTTTTGTTCTTCATGGAACCGTAGAAAGGAGGACTAAAAAACTTAAAAATTTATAACTGATTGAATAAAAAATCATTACATTCATAATAAATTCATAGATCGTTAAGAAATTGAATGGTACGAAATGAATGTCGTTCGTCCAGCCAAATGAGGTGGTGTCAGCAAAGCCGATATAAGGTTGAAAGAGGAAAACATTTAAACTTGATGATACTAAATTATATGAGGTATGTTTTTCACATTATAAATTATAAATTTTCCAATAACTGTCACAAATTGTAATAACACATTGGACCGGTTTTTTTGTCAAGTGTAAAAAAAAGTGTTTTGTATTCGGATAAATAAAAAGTGTGACTGATTATTGTTGCGGCATCATATGAATACCATTTAATCAACATACCAAATTATTTTGTCAAAGCATATACCATTTTGTATCGGACGTTGTATATAATTTATGTCAACGTCGATCGTCTTTGACTAACTAATTAGCACATATTGCAATAAAATGAATCTGTAAAAGGTAACGCAGTGAAATCACTTAAAACTGTATTCGTCAAATAGATGAAATCACAATTTGCATGAATTTGCAAGCAAGTAATCGAGCACTGATGCTATAAATGGATTCATTGTGCGTATGCAACAGTTTTACAAATATAAACAAAAATAAAAATTCGAACGGAAAGCACGTTTTCACACCGTTCAATCTTTAACCGGCTTCGTTACAATGATTGACAACCACATTTCAATACCCATAAAAAAAAACCAGAATCAAGCGAATCGAATAGAGAAATGTTTAAATAATACAAGAAACTGTTTACTGATTCATTCAACGAACGTGAAAACAATATTGACGATAAATCATGAGATTGTGATTTTCGAGCAGAAAACAAACCAAAAGATAAATGTTTTAATTAGTTTTGTTGACAGTTTTCTGAACATAAATCCGTCTTCACTCAGCTTTTTTTCACACATAAAAAGTATTTTGTTTCGACGTAGAAAAGTTAAATGAACCGATATTGATTGGTATACGCATTGTCATTGGATATTTTTGTGCATAATTTAAAGAAATTTACCAAATTAGTGAATAGAATGACGTTAGAGTTATGAATATTGTGCTATTGGTAAATTTAAATTAAAACTTATTACGCTTTATTTTCGACATTATTGATAACATAGTCATGAAAGTGTTCTACATTTAAAATATAGATTGGTTGAGGCTTGTGTGATAACAAACTGCGATTAATTTTGATCTCTCTCTCTCTCTCATTCTTAAATTTTATTGGAATTTAAATTGTACATGTTATATGTGAATGATTGAGAAATTTGGCAATATTTATTTAATAAATATTCATCGCCTGATCCCAGACTGAAACATAATTTGAATTCAGTTAACGAAAACTCAAAAGACACTTGTTTTCAAGTTCATCAATGCAAAACCAACTGTATTTTAAGTGAATTGAACGTGAAACGTATACAAGCATACATTGCTAGAGAGATATACAGACTAGTTGTTATATTGTTCCCTTTTCAAGACACAGAGAAAATCACTCAAATAGAGGATGAAATTATTGTTCTCGCGCAGTACCTATATGCATACGGTTGCCGTATGGTTTGGTGTTTTTTTTTTATTGATTTGACGTTCAATGAAATATAGAACTTCAATTAAACTCCCATTGTCAAACGAAAAATAATGAAGAAAAAGACATGAAGAGCAGAAGAATGCTAAGAAGAAAGGAGTATTTTTTTTTTTCAAAAAGAAATTTCCTAAAAATTATTCGAAATGGTAAAATGTGTGTCCTCGATGTTCACAAGTGTTCAATGGAAATATGTGATTTGAAATAATAATGTTTGTGAGACGAATAATGAAAAATAAATAACAAAACTGATTTAATTTGATTGAATTGGTTTGAGTGCGATATTATAAAAACATTCCATTTTGACAAAATAAACATCTCGATTAGCATCTTGAAAATAATATGCATAACAACGATATGTATTCATTGATGGTAAATATCTGTTTTATTGTTTCAAAAAAAGTAGTTTCTTCTTGAATTGTCAAAATATCTCCTTAAAAATGAAGTATAAAAAAAGATTGTGTTCCAATTAGTTTCGATGAAAAGGCAATCTATTTGCTCTTCAACGATGTCTCTAACACTTTACGTAAGTAGTTGTATAACGTAAACATTGAAAAATTTCACAATTGCCAAACGAAGAACCGGAGATATAACTTCCATAAAAAGTGTAACACGTGATTGGTAAACCAAAAGAAAAAAAAATTGCTTGATTGTTCGTTAAGCACGTGAATAAAGTTTTTTTTTCTACATTTTTGATGCTTAAGCTTAACTCAAACTCACAAAGTGAGAGGTTGCAGTTTTGATGTTAAACGACTAATGCACGCAACTAAAATATGAACAACAACAAAAAAATCTATCGAATATTTCATTTCAAAGTATCAGCGATTTGAAAATGAATTACCACCTGGGTTTAATTCACCCAGGTTTCAATTTACATATTCCTTAGCCAATCGAATGTTAAATATTTTATTTTTATCGATTTTTTTTCGGATTTTCATGTAAACTCTCTTCTTATACGCTATTCAACTAACTTTGTAAAATGTATTTTTATCTAGTATGATATAGGATATATGCATTTATAATTGTGTGAACGCTAGCACATGCCGTTGATAGTATTTAGTACACCACACAAATCGAAGATGAATACGAATGTTCGCAATAATAAGGAACGACACCGATATGAAACACTATACACTATCCATTCAATAAACCATTTTAGAGTCGTGTTTTGAAGTAGTAATCACTGAAAAGTGTAGCACACACACACACAATGAATTAAAATGCTGATAATTCAGTTTTGCATGATTTGCCAGCGTTGTTATGTGGCACTGGTTCATGTAGTTGAGCAGCACATTCTTTTTTTTATAAATATCATAGAGTGCAGTTCATTGATTTTGGTCCACTCATGCGATAATTTTTATGCTTGCCGTTTCGCTATGTCCACTATGCGAAGAAGATTTCTCTTTTTCATGGAGAGTTTCGAGTTAACACGAAATTGTATCGATTTGTTGAACTCTTTTGAGCGCATCAGATATTAAAAAAAAACCAGACTGATTGATTTTGAATGTTTGATAGTGGTTTTGTTTCGAAGGTCAGGGTCGTTGGAAGTGAGATTTGTTATGATTCTGTCAGAGATAGACATTGATTAAATTTATGCACGTGGGAGGTCATTATTTTTTTCGGTTCTTTTTTGTATGCCAAAATTATAGTTAATCGGGTTTTGAAATACACAAAAAAAGGTGTAGAACGTAAACTATTTTTTTCTCTCTCATAAATTCGAAGTTAATTTCATAATGAATACTGTGGGTCTAGATGGAAAACCCCGTAATGAAATGTAAGCAATTTTTTTTGTTGAAAAAGGGCAAACATTTCATTTAATATATTTCAAACACCTGAAAGTGCAAAAAAAAAAACGAACTACGAGTATAAATATATATTTGTAGTGGTATTTGAATGGTTTTTTTTATTATGGAACAACTTTGTATTGTGACGTCTAGCCAAACAACAATAGGCAATCTGTTTAGCGAACAAGCAGCCACTCATTATTTACCATTTTTATCATTTGATCACACATAACACGAATTTCGAACACAGAACGAGTCGATCACATGCAATTCATTAATTCAATCACTAATCACATTTACATGACCCATATATGATTCTTACTCTTTCTAATTTGTCGCGCGCGTAATTGGTTCACTCTTTCTCTCTCTATCTCCCTTTCTTTCTATCGTTATAAATTGTTCTTAACTTATTCTTGTATCAATTAACGTTTGAGCTTCCAAAAATGCAAAGCAAAAGTCAACACTAACATGATGGGCGTTTTTTTTTTAAATGAATTTAAAGAGCATCAAAATGCAATTAATTTAGATCATGTCAAATGAGACACTTGAAAAACTGAAACATATTATCAAATTAGTTGTGAGCGTCAATTGAACCGAACAGAGGACCAATTATACCTATTCAATAATAGAATATGCCAAAGTAATTCAGACAATTTTGACGATTACGATCTGTACACGATGGCAATCGTACATCATTTACTCAAAATTGCATATTATACGTGAATTATGATTGAGGTGCCATTAAATTCTTCTAGTCGACCAATTCAATAAAAACCAAATTCAATATATGGATGAGAGTCAAAATAGCTTTTGTTTATCGAGATCAAAAATACTCTAGCCAATCGAAGATTGTTTTTTATAAGTGAAAGTGATAAATATTTCGCAGTACAAACAAAAAATGTACGTATTTCTCTATATTTAAATAACAATCCGCATACATGTCACATTAATACAAAAATTCGTATTATTTCCAAAACTTAACATTTACCACCGTCAAACGTAGCATTGAAACGACAATAACAAGTATTTTCAATGGTAAATTTTGATGTCAGAGTGCCCCAACATTGGTGATTGTATTTTGAGACACACTTTGTAAGCCACTTTTATTGTATATATTCGCTATAGCATATTCGTTCTAGTTCACATTGACGGTTGCAAATATTCTTCAAATCGTTTATCGCACGACTTCGTATTTACTTTCTGTTACATGTACGTTATAATGTACAAGTATATCCATGATGAAATCATCGAATAAATTTAAAAATACTTCCACTGGTGTTACCATCTGGCTCTTTGTAAGGATTTCATTGCGTCGTTGTTTTTTCCATTGATTTATCTTTCATCGTTTTGTTGTTTATGGACTAACATATGATTTCATTATTGAAATGATTTGAAAACAAAAAAAGATCCTTCCCCAAAAAAATGCCATCAATTTTCAACATATGGTGCTTTGCATCTCACCAACAGAATTAATATTTTTTTGCTAAACAAAACGTAACTGAATGCCATTCTATCGAAATCATACCCGTATATGATAGCTGACAGAAAACTAAAGTTCTGATGTTTATTGTTCAATTGACTCCGAAACATTCCGTTGATAACCGCCTGAATCATCAGATCATCACGAATTGAAGATCTTTTATTGATTGTTTATTTCTATACATCGTTCCGATGTTAAATTACTGAAATCGTGGTACGTTATTCAATTAAATTTACACTTTTGCATTCTTTACATTTTAAAATTTAAATTTTTGAAATTTGATTGGATTAAGAATAAACAAGAATATTTACGAAATTTATTGTTTGGAAGATTGATATTATAAAACTTTCTTTATCAACATACAACAATTAAACAATATAAACAAAGAACATTAATCATTTTCATTAATTTATCAACAAAGGCTATTTTAAGAAACGGTGAAAACTTATCCCCTGATGGAAATAAATGTTCCGTCATGAATACTTTTTTTCCTTTTCATTAATTATTCAAAAAAAAAATAACCATTTACTGTATGAAACATTTGTTTTTTTTTTTAATTCAGACTGTTCGCCAATTCCCATCGCTTTTGTTGACAAAATTAATTAAATTATGAAATAAATGTGAAACTTGAGCACTGTTGTTTTTGGTGTGGCAAAACCACTTCTTATTATTACGTTCATCCATTAACAATTGTGAATACTTTTGTATTTTAGCAAAAGTCAGAGTGTATTGATTACATCTTCGTGATTACATTCTAAAAGGAATTGTCACATATTTTTTTTTTCTTTTAATTTTTGTTTTGCATAACATTACATCAAAATGGTAGGCAAGGAGCGCCGTATGAAAACTATATGCGGTCAAGGTGATGGGAATGATAGATATCATCAAGACAAGAATCTAATTTTTGCATAGCTGATACAAAATCCATAAAAAAAAATAGCGTTTGAAAAATTAGTCATGGTGGTAGTGAAACTAGTTCGATTAAAATAATGAATTTTTAACTCTATGATTGAAAAGAGGGTGATTTTTTTCATCATAATCAAGCATACGTAGTGGTTCTTAACGGTTCTATCTAGATATGTATGTTACTTTTCATGCCGTACAATAAGCAAAATTCTGACTCAACGCCACATTTTACACGCACATTACTAATAGACCGTAAATGAAAGTATATTATGGCTATCGTGTGCATTCGACGCAAACACAAATTTACTAGTAATATTACGAAGAAACCGTCGATAAGTTTTGAATGAGAATATAGAGGTAATCGTGTATTTTACCGGCATTTGTTGCTTTGCGTGCAACATGCCTAACATACCCAAATTGCGAGCTACACAAACTGTATTTATGAGTCAAATAAATGGCTCTTCAAATTGCGTTAGGACCACTCTACGCGAAATATTTGTTGTATATAAAATTCTTTGCGTTTTTTTCCATCATGCTACCACGCATTCATTCACGTTGGCCTGAAAAAAGTTCCGAATTATCAGAAGTTTATTTTCATTTGAAATTTTCTTATGGAACAAAATACGATGTATTGAATATAATTTTATTCTTGAAGAGAATGAATCATTAATTTTTTATGTATTGTTTATGGTCGGGTATATTTAAACTTGGTCAATTTTACCATTTTACATGAAATAGTCTGATATTTAAAGGTCTTTTTTAAATAAAATTTATCGATTGACTGATTTGAGGTAATAATATCTCTTTTACTTGCGATTGTAAGAATCAAGACCAAATGCATATTTAAAGATGACAATAATAAAGCCAGGTTACACATAACATGTGTTTCATATTCCAAAAAAAATGTATTTTTTGTTTCATGAATACACTTCTAGATTTGTTCCAATGTAATCAACACACAATTACGTAACATATTTTATACTCGACACTAAAAAAATACGTTCAACTCTATGTATTAGAAAAACAGACTTTTCAACCGGTTCCACTTGATATACATAACTTGAATACGGCGAATAAATAAAGTCAACATTTAATGTAAATTCTCTGAATTTTTTACGATGTTTGAATTTTATTTTCATATCAAGTATTGTGAAACGTAAACCATTTTCGAATATATTTTTTGAAATATCACCAGTTTGATATAATCTGTGTCATTCTAACAGGTATTCTTTTTTTTTATCGAAATTATCATCACTGGAGTAATGCCAAAATATTGAAATGAATATGTCGATGATAGATATACATACGTAAAAATCAGCTGGAATGGTCACTGTTACTTCAAAGTCTATATGAAAATGTGTTTTTGGTTCTTTTTGAAGTATCTATGCCGCCAACACAATATTATTGCAAACATTGCAAATAAAAAAGTGTGGTTTAAAAAGTATAGTCGACTCAAAAAAAGAAATTCATTCTTCTGTCAATTGGTTGACGTAAACAAACGTGACTGAATTAAAACACATCAAACCTGTTACAGTTGATCTCCATAACGGCTGATGATCTTAAGTCGAAAAGTTACAGAAAAATGACACGGTTACTACTTTTTTCATTTGAGATATTTTGACGAATCAAATGGTTTTATTGTGCTGCAGTTATAATTATACACAAAATAAGTTTATTTGAGGCTTTATATGACAAACTACACAGTACGTTGCATTGTGGGTAGAACCGAATTGTGATCAATGAAGAAAAAAACGCAAAAAGTTAATCGCAAAATTTGTAAAGCAAAATGCAATATGTTTTTGAGTAAAGATTAAATTTTATTTTTCTAAAAGCAGAAGAAAATGTGAAAATTACAAAATGTGAAAATTACAAAATGAGAATAAATTGTATGAAATACTGTGGAAAAAGAAAGAAAATATAAGAAGCAAACGGGGACACAAAATAATAATAAAGAAATTTAATTCAATGACCGCCAGAATTCAGCCTCCCAATCAGATAGCTGAGTGTAGTCGATCTCATTTTGATGCATCTCTTCGATCGGAATGATGTCCTCAATGTCTAAATCATGCATTGCTGCATTGTCGGTTAGATCAATTATGAAATTTTCTGTATTTGGTGTTAAAACAATTGTCTCGGACGGATTTAAATCACATGACTTTGCTGCCACATCCGATAGTATCAGATCGTTTGTTGCATAGTTAAACGTTTCTATACCGTTGTAGGTATCGGAGCCATCGATAACGACCCTTTTGGTTACGTTATTGACAACTTCATCTGTTTTGGTGTCGATTTGTTTTTGTATCACTTTACTGGATTGTTCAGTTGTTTTCTCTTCCGATAGAATCTCTATTTCTAACTTTTTTAATTCAGTTTTTTTCTGGTATTTTCTTTTCGGTATAGCATCAATCACATCTTTTGTTTTATGTTTTAGAGGTACCGATGGTTTAAATTTTAGATTCTCCTTTCCGCAACATACATGTGGATCAGACTCGAAATGTTCGAATTTTGCAGAACCTCGGTACATTTGGAATTGATACAATTGGACGTTGTTCAGCAAATATTCGAAAGGCTTTCCGGGATACCGTTTCACACGCCCCAAAAATACATGGCATTCCCCGCAATGAATGATGTCGTTTGTATCGATATACGCATTCATGTTTACATGCGGAATCACAATTATGCCTGTAATAACAAGATTCTCTTGTCAATAACTTCAATATTCTGACAAAAAAAAATTATGATTTCATTGATGAGAACAAGTTACTTTTCACTGGCACTTGTGCTGGTTGTCACATTTCACTTTTTTCTCTAATTTTCCTAATTTACACTTAATACCTACCTCCTTCTACTCTTCGCGTAACGTGCTCTAGTTTTACTATTTGTTTTCGACAGCCATATTTTACACCGGCTCCACAACAATAAGCGTCCATGGTTGTATAATAGTATGCTTCTGAAATCATTTCAGTTGTCTTGAAAAAACTTTCTTCCACTATCCACTTCTTACTAATCCAAAAGTCAAAATTGAACTGAACATATTGTTCTTTCTTTGCGACGTCATAAACTCGCATTTTAGTTAAGTCCTTTGCCATTTAACCAAAGAATAAGAATCGAGATTATTAGAAATACATTTCCCATTAAATTGCGCTCATTCCTAACCATCTGATAGATTAAATTATATAAATTACTCTAATGTGGCTCAATACTCTGACTACTAAAATCATCAAAAACGCATCTAAATCGAGCACCGCGAAAGTTCGGATACTTTTCCTGTAAGTGTCTCTCTTTCTTGTATTCAGGTGCGGCACTTAAAAAGCACCTCTTTGGTGCCAATACAGTTGTGATTGAGTTTGTTGAAGACCGATTTTTATGCAAAATTAAAATAAGTCGAAACATTTGTCCGTTCAAACCATGTTTAGAATTATACTAAAATTGATTGAAGCAAATTATTTAATTTTTTAAATATTGTTGCTATTCGATTGTAAAGCAGTTGATATATTTCACATTTCTAAAAATTAGATAAAATACTAAATGATAGCATGGCCAATGTTGCAATTTATAATATCCATTATTCATTTTAATGCATTTTCAAATTAAATAGTCATTAATAAAAAAATAAAATGATTTAATACTTATTTAAATGCAATGAAGTCGTGAAAGAAGTTTTATTGAATTTACATTAGCACAGTATCATAAAACAAAAAAAAAACCAATTTAACCATAAATCCATTTTATATTTTTATTTCATTTCATTTTTTCTAGAATGGGACGAGAATTGTGTGTGTGATATAACTGACATGTCGGAGCGCCGTTCTATTTTCATACTGTTTATTGGGCTTATGCTATGCATATCATTATGGATATCGCTACAGGATATACAAGAATTGCATACAGAATACACATCTTATGACCCGTTGGAATTGCTGAATAGTGTAAATAATAGCACAACGTCATTGAACCTGATAAGCAATACAACAGCGTCATCTGAATGGGCGTTTAAAAATGATACAACCACGTTGATCGACCTGAAAAATTTCGAATATTTAATTAATCAAGCGCCTTGTAGTGATGATTTTAAATGGCATGGTGATATGAATACGATTAATAAGTTACCAATTGTACTGGTTTTAATACATTCAGCACCACGAAATTGGCACAAAAGAAATGTTATACGCGAGACATGGGGCTATAAAGATCGTAGAGCACGAATATTTTTTCTTTTGGGCGCTGTAAAATCAACGCAAACTCAAATACGACTTAAGCAGGAAAATGATATGTTTCAAGATTTGATTCAGGGTAACTTTTTTGATGCCTATCGTAACATGACATACAAACATACAATGGCTCTAAAGTGGTTTGTTTACAATTGTCCAAAACTGAAATATCTGATTAAAACCGATGACGATGTGTTTGTCAATACGCCGGCCGTATACGATTTACTTGAGGCGGGCTTCAACAACGAGAACTTAATATTTTGCTATCGGATTGAAGATGCACGTATCAAACGAACATACAGATCTAAATGGCGGGTTAGCACCAAAGAGTTTTCTGGCCGGTAATTTATTTTCATACAAATTTTAATATTTTTACGGAATATATTAAATAATTTTTTTTTTTTTACAAATTCAAATGAAATTTAATCATTGAGACTGGTATTTTAATTGAACATAATTTTTATTACAGATACTATCCAAACTATTGTCCTGGATTTTCGATAATTTATTCAAGCGATGTGGTTTTGCGATTGTACAAAGAAGCGCAACAAACACCATACTTTTGGATCGATGATGTACATATTACAGGGACGTTGGCACAACATTTGAATCTCAACATAACCACACTTGGAAAATATTACCTTAATTCAATCCAGCTCAATGATTTGATTACTGACAAACTCCATTTATCCAGCATCGAACCAATGTTCTTATTTGCAGAACCAAATATACACGAAGAGCAAATTCGTGCGCTATGGAATACAGTGAACAACTCGTACAGATAGTTTAAGACAGCATGAATTTAATTTAAAAAATATTTTAAGCCAAATACAAATATTGAATGTAACAAAAATAATGTTAGCTAGAATGAGCCCATTTTTTGTTATTTAAAAGATGGGGTAATCAAAACGTTGAAAGTGCTGTACTTAAAAACCGATTTATATTCGTTATTGTTCGTAGACTGAAAACTTAGCCGACTGCAATGTAACATTCCACTATTTTTCTTTTATTAAAAAAAATAAAATCAATAAGGGAACGATGTTACCTTGCTGTAATGCACTCTCATCTGGCTACAGTTTTTAGTAGGACCAAAATGAAATGTGGCCGCAGTATGATTTTGAAAAAGAAAAAGAAATCTACTTACAATGTGTCAATTATATTATGTTGACTGTTGAGTAGTTTTTGAATGTATTTTAAAATTTATGGTGACATTTTATGAATCCAAGCCTTATTTGTAACACACATTTTGTGTAAAACAAATTAGAAATTGATAGGTATAATACACAATCAGAATACGTGGTACACCGAAAAAATACGGCCTTCATTCTTTAAAGTACACATATATAAGTGCGGTGTGTCTGTAATTCTAAAATGTCATTGTGTTCAGTCCCTGCTGGTAACACACAAATATTTCGATTCAAGAGAAAAAAAAGAAGCATTTGCAATAAACTAAAATTAATAAATATTTACTGAATAGTAATTACGCCTTTAAAAATACGCCTCATAACATAGTAACAAATAAGACATAAGATGAAAAACGACATAAATCATATTTATAGGATGTACTAAAAAAATGTTGAATATTTTAATAACATTTCTCTTCTTTATCTCATGGTGAGCAATACAGAAAAGAGATTATCCTGGTAACTTTTTTTCAATTCAATTGAGAGATAATGCATATGATTTAGTTTTTTTTTTTGTAAATTTTGGGCTGGTGCATTTATACAAACCGAATTCGGAGAATATTTTTATTTGTAGAAAAAATGGAAATCGTATGACATTCAAATGAACTAAATTTAATTATAATGTTACAACTATCCAATATGTTGACTTACTTCAATTTATTAGTCTGTTCAAGCCAAATAAAATGTAAAATGTATTTGAAATTTATTTCAACCAAAGTTCAATGTCAAATTGTACCTCATAATTGATCACTATATTCAACAAGCGTCTGGAATATTACAAGGAATATATCAATCAAATGCTAAAAGAAATCTCTTAAAACTTGATCAACAAATATTCCCTCTGCAATATAATAAAAAAAATCATAATTAAATAAAAATATTTTTAAAAAATACACAACGAATAGATGATCAACAGATGATGAACAGAAAATCAAAATTGAGAAACATTTGTACAATGCTATTTGATTTCGGACGGAGAATGAAAATGAGAATAGCCGTAAATAAAACTTTGCCAAAGACGCACTATAGCTAGAACCCACGTAAAAATACGAAGAATTTTATCGCATTATTGTCTATTCTCAATGTCAACCATTAGTTTGTTCGAGAACGAATTGCAATCTCATTTTTTTTAATTTGCTGACTTAAATGTTGATGTCAATTATACATTTAAATAAATATGGCATACATTTGAATACTAAATAAGCCATAACTCACATATTATAATATCAACATCGCAAGTAAACAAAAACCTAGATGAAATGGATGAGAACGTTCAAAATTGACTGTGACTGTTATAATTATGAATTTACATGTAAGCGAATTAAGCATTTCGAAGAAAATGTTTGGTGATATAATAAACTAATATATAAAGCTACTCCGTATTATTACGTATATTGCATACCATAAATTGAACACTTTAATTGTAATTCGAATTTGAATCATGGGTGCAATATTTTTGCCACTTGAAACATAATATGCAAGAATTTCACAAAAATGTCTAAATTGACACAGTTGAGAAGTATGTTTATTTTCAAATTGTATTTCGTTATTATTGAGCTTAATTTACTCGAAAAAATATATATCAAATAATATGAATAAAAATGACAAAATATTTACATTGCTACGTCTTTTACTGATGTATTCAAAAATTGATGTCCTTTTTTATTACTTTTCCGCACACATAGTGTAAGGTGAAGAGTATTGTAATCGGTCAAAATTTTGAAAACTTCAGAAACATGTTTTCTGGACGTTTCTGAGGTCAGAGAACCCGAATCAGGCCGTTTTGAGCATGGTTTATGTTAATCTGTACGTCGTACGTTGTACGTCGTACGCAAAATTTGTTAGCAAGATTGCGCTCATCGTAGAAACTTAATTCAAAATCTGACTTAACAGGATGATTGGGGGTCCCGAGGAATAGAAATCATTAGCTTTTGAGCGACTTTGGTTGATGGAAAAAAATGTCATGCCTGTAGTGATACCTATGAAAAAGAGTCCAATTTTCGTCCAAAAGTCATACTTAATGTAGACTTAAACACTCAAAAATATGTATTGGGGAGTTTTTGGCACGAGAAAACCAAATCCGAGGTTAGTTTTGTGATACAATCAATTTTTGATACAGTTTCCTTGAAAAAATCACAAAAAAATTGAATTTTTGTATGGGAGCCATGCCTGTATGCTACCTTAATGGTGTGAAACTTTGCACAGTCTATTTTTTACACAAAAAAATAACATTCTGAAAGTTTGAAGAGATTTTAATCAAAATTAGGGGTACCTCCCATACAACATTTTCAGTTTTTGGCTCAAAAACGAATATTTTGTATGGGAGGTACTCTTAATTTTGGTTGAAATTTCTCCAAACCCTCCGAATGTTATTTTTTTTGTAAAAAAACAACCCGTGCAAAGTTTCACACCATTAAGGTAGCAAAAATACAAATTTTTTGTGACTTTCGTTATGAAAAGTGTTTCAAAAATAATTTCTATGGCAAAATTAGCGTCAGACATATTTTTTATAGTGTTTTGTTAGAAAATAATAGAATACTTTCAAATGTCGTACAAATGGGTTCATCATGAAAGTGTGAAAAATCTTTTCTCGGGTACTTCTGCTATTAAATTAAAGAATATTTTGTTGCCAAAGTTGAAACATATTTTTTGGCCTCAAACTTTAACGCTTGAAAGGCTTGAAAAATCGAAAAAATATTATTTTGAACTTTCTTAATAAAATACGCAACTACCACCGTGCGGAAAAGTTCGTCTTACTCCTAAGTTCGTAAGACTCTTTATTACATTCATCCTATTGATAATATTTAATAAGCGTTATCTTCAACTAATAAGACACCAATTGCTTTGTTGAGAGTACCAATTATTTTGGACTTTATGAAAGGGATGTATAGTCGAATGTCCGCACATGTGAAAGTCGAAACTTGGGACCAGGTTTAAACAATTGTACCAAAAATGTACTTAATTGTACCGCAATTTATTTTTAAATAGTACCTTACTCGTTTGGATAATATTTGGAGCCCACATTTCGGGCTAACTCAATATTGTTATAGAATGAAGAAAAAAAACTCAAAGATATTTTTTTAATTTTTATGGCTGATCAGGTCTTTCAAACATTGGCCCCATAATTCTTAAAATATTAAATATCCCAGTGTTGACTTTATAAATAAAATCCACCTTATTAAAATCCAACAAGCTTTGTCAAAAATTAAAATATCTTGTGTGATGAATAGAAAATGAAATAATTAAATTTTTCATGATTGAATTTTTTTTTAGCTTCAGTCAGCAATATGACATTTTTGATGTGGGTTTCAGTGAGGGATTCTCAGTAAGGAGGAAAATAAGTTTTTAACCAAAAAGGTATTTTTGTGTGCTTTTTGACCAAAAAAAAGTTTTCCTCTCCTCCTCCCCATTTTCTTACTCACCGTTCCTCCTCCCAGAAAAAAAATGTTTGCTAAAATGTTATCTAAAAATTGAACAAAATTCTCAAAATAAATTCTTTCTGATTCGAATGCTGTAGCGAATTTAAGGCCCCCTAGTGCATAAGACCTGTCTTTTGTAGGCATACACAATTTTTGATAAAATCTGTTTTTACCGGTCACTTAAATTATATTATGTAAGGTCCGGATTTTTATTTTTCGCTCAATTGGACTTCATTATGTCGTTTAGGGGTTGTTTAGTTATATTCAAGAAATCAAGTGGAAACAGAAATATGTCAAAAACCATTATTTGTTAAATGGCTTTGATTGTCCTGTGATTTTTGTTTATCGCATTTTTGAGTAAACTAACATATCAAAATCAAGAACCAGTCAGTGGACACGTCAATATGAAGAAAGTGTAACAGTATGGCAAAAAAAAAATAAACAAGAAATCGAAAAAAAAGTCTAGTGCTAAGATAAGAAGAGTAACATCAGTAAAAAATGTTTAAATAAGAATGTAAAGCATATTACGTTGAAATCGTTAATTAAGAAAGCTAAACAAGCTTTAAAAAAATCTAAACCCATCAGTATTGAAAAAGCGGTGAATAATACGGTTAAAAAAACTAAAAAATGGAAAAAATATCAAAAAGTCACGTATTATACCGTTACCATATTCCGGCGGAGCCTTGGATCTCATTCCAATGTTAACGCTACTAAAGCAGAAGATTTGGACAGGATATAATAATAAATTCAATTAGTTTGATCTACAAAAAATGTGATTTCTTTTTACTTCAAAGTGTTTCATATGAATCAGCTTATTATTTCATTTGAATAAATTATATGGATAACCACAGATCTATGGGAAATTGAATGCGTGAAAAAAGCAAGCGACAGCGTGTTATAACTAACAGTAAAATCCTTGAATTAAAATTAAAATGTTCAAAATAAATCCGAATTATCGATTAAAAATTGACTCAGTCGAAGCGAATCAATTGAATTTATAATTCATGGTAAATAAAAGGTAATATTTACTACACGAATGTCCAACGATGATACGCACAAATCAAAACGATTGAAATGTTAAAATTTGTTTAATGGACCTACTTCAAAAGTGATATATTGGACGATATCCCACGTCATTTCAGCCTAGCAATATTCAAAATTATAGTTAATGGCCGTTATCGGCGGCAATGCTTGAGCCGATGGAGTGCGTGTTTGATTAAAAACTAAAATGTTTTTGATCTAAAATTACAGTTTTCATTGTAATTAGTTTGTTACGAGCACCCCCAGCAACAATACTTATACTTATTGCAGTGGTATTGTTTATCCTTAATGAATTTTGATCGAAAATAGTTTAAACAAGTTCAATGCTATTGCCTGTTCATATACTACGTTGAACATTTTCGAGTAATTCTTGGCATTCTGTGTGTGTGTTTTACAAAATTTTGTTGACATAATAAAGTGCACAGAAACGCTCGTTACAATACAAACTATCATATTTTTCGTGGTACATCTTATAAAATATAGATGGTTTTCAAGTAGATGATTATGAAAAGTGTCGAATAAATGGAACTGGGTTATACTGCTCGAATGCGAAGAAGTACGTGTTTATTTGTTGGATGTATGTTAACAAATGTGCGATAGCCATATATATATATACAATATATAGCCCCCGCCATAGTTTCTATTCAATGTGTCCACCACCGGATCTAATTGCGAACGCAAACATTTAACAAAATAACTATGTGTAGCTCGAAATGTAAGAAACTAGACAACTCCAACATAGCATGACACAGCGAAAAGCTTGGGAAAAATCGGTGTTAACCGAATGTTGTTTTTCCCGCATGGGATTGTGTGCTATTGATTCTGAATCGTAGCCAACCGTAATATATCAACTAACCGACACAAAAATAATTTAGTTACACTCCGCTATTCTCTGAAGCTGAATTTAGTTGTACGTTAGTTGCCAATGAATGTTAAGGCATTTATTTGTTGTTCTTCATGACGATCGCATCGAACCGCAAACCGAAGTGAATAAAATTGTCAAACTTTGGACGCCCGTCTGAAGTGAACTTCACATTGACGACAATTATTAATAAAATATTTCTTAAATTTATAAATACCCTAGTGTGTTCATTTATTTCATTCTGACACGACAATACTAACTGACTGCGAATAAATAATTAGATGATTCTCTGTATAAAAAAAACGTATAATTGCTTTTCCGGTAAATTTTAGATGAAACAAGCTACAAACATCAAACATTTTAATAATAAAATTGGCCATCGACATAATTAATTGTAGTGTGTGGAAGCAGTTCGTTTTTTTTTTGAGAAAATAAAATCAATTAGCGCGCAAATTAAATTCAACTTTGTTGGATACAAGAAAGAATAATTCTTTCAATAAAATAGAAAAAAGCACATCGAAAGCATGATGTCAATGGAATCGATAAGTTCGCAGCCACCCAACAACAATGGAAATGTCCATCGTGATGATGATTATAGAAAACGGATTCTGCAAAGTACGTGCACATATTTTCGTATTTATGTTGTCGTCATCGTATTCAAAAAGCCAATAATTCACATTTAATACAAAATTCATATTTTCCATTTGTATTTCTGTTTAATTTTTTTTTTAACCAAATAACTCATTGCCAATGGAAAATGCACATGTCTATTTATCCATTGACGTATACAACAACTATCTGCGGTGTTGGCACACGAATTCTGCCATTGCTGATAACGGTCATAAAATATAATGCACACCAATACAGTGAGAGTACCCGGTATGTATAGATTTCACCACTTCAATACCATTTATGATTGTACACACTTTAGTGAAAACCAACCAGTCTGAGGTGACTCACAAGCTTTTAAATTTAACAATTCACTCCCAGATTGGGTCGTTTTGATTTTAATCAATATTAAATGAACGGAAAAATGAAAATAAGTCAAGGTTTTTCATTTGAACTAGTTGCTTACGGGTCATATATACTTTGTGGGAACCCATTTAACCCAAAGCTCGAATATAAATTTATTATTTAGCCATTTTGCTTCTTAAATTATTCAGCTAATATCAATCACTTATCACTTGTGAAAATATAAAAGATTTTGTGATCTCTTTGTCACTGATTCAGTCAAGTGTTTGACGTATATCGCGGTAACTTGTTGCTATAGAAATTCTGAAGGATTCGTTTAGAATAATACACAGAGCTATTTCTTTATCAAGTGTAGCAAGTTGGAAGCGAATAAAATACGTTATTTTGCGAAAGAACATGGAATGTACAGTGTACATCTTATTTATACTGGTATCTTTCCACGTATTTGCTGATGAATGAAAATTTCGAAATAAAGTTATTTTTATCAGAAAACTACTCTTGTAGACAACGATGTATGAACAAAATTACTTTTTCATAGAAATAGAATCAAACTCAACGACATTTTGTGTTTCATATCGACTGTCGATTGTAATATGTTATTTTTCATTTCATTTTTTCAGCACATGTTACATTTCGCATTCATTCAAACGCCCATTATAATGAACGTTTGTAAGTCTCTACCTAAATTGATGACATAGCTTTCTTCTGAGAACAACGTGTATAATTTTGACATTAATGTTTAATATTGTTTTTCATCAGTTCGATGATAAAATATGAAAAACTGATATCAAACTACGCCATCAAATTGAATATATTTTGGTTATTTATAAGACATTTTACAAAAATATCGAACACACAACCAATTTAATGACCATTAAAGGCCAAACACTCATTCTCAGACTGTTTCGGAAGACATAATGAATAATTATGTATATTATGATATACTTCCAAATTAAAAGAATATTAAGAATTTTCGTTTGACCTCAGTCAAACTACTCTTCAAACATGTGTAAGGTGAATAAAAAATAACAACATCCTATTACTGTGCGTATTGATAAAAATCTCATACATTTAATATTTAACATACAATTTCATTACTCTTTTCCTAATGGTGGCACTCTTTTGTTTCAATTAGAGACAGTTGTCGTTTTTATGTGACACATTTTGTATACGATTGCTTTGATTCTATCATTATAACATGGTCTTCTGCAGGGATTACCGTCAGTTGGATCTATCCTGATACATTTTTGATTCATTGGTAGATTTCGTAGATTCTATCAAAATTCAAAGATTCAAATCGAAACAATTCCAATTCATACCAATGTCCAAAACATTTAAGCAAATAAATCAATCAGACAGCATTCCTCACTCTTTCAAGTCAATTTGTGGGGCATTAACCTTATCTTAGTTTCAAGTTTACACAGAAGAATGCAAACTCTCAAGATTCCCACGCTCTTAACCTCTTGTTTACCAATCTTTGCAAACTATCCCTTGATCTCTTTATTGTTGTATGTATACATAGAAAACCGACAAAACCGGCAACATATAAAATGCATAAAACTCCGTTTCCTTCTTTATCTATTTTATATAAATTTACATACCAAAAGGATTGCCGTAACGAGTTTTTTTTCGAAAAAACGTCATTAAAAGTAAAAGCGAAATACTATCGCTTTGAAAAATAACGAAAAAAAAACAATATTTGCACTTTGGGTTCGGCATGTGTTTTTCTTCTTATCATGATAAGTGGTGCGACGAGCATAAGCTCACTTGACTCTGTTTCCCGTAAATATTATCCATCTCAATAAGATATAAGGCCGCTGTACATTGATAAGGCCGCTGTACATTGTTATACTTCCGCACGGTTTTCTTCGTTCGTTGTTACTGTTGTGTTCGTCATTGCCTCGTTCGTCTCCTCTTTTTCCATTTTCGCATTAGTATTATGCGACTATGCGCAGAATATGAATAAATTCCGAAATCAGTCAAAGCGTCAGAGGAACATAACACACCTACTACAGCACACATACGTTGACGTATAACAAAACATTAGCCAAATATATACGTATATACCATAAATTTCCACATTATTTTGTTTAATAATTGATAAGCTCTTGAGGTATCATCAACACATTTTGTTAATATCTTCAGTTTGCTTGTAGCAGACATTCGAAACACTTATCCAAATATAACAAGTGCTAAATAGTAAAAACAAAAAATATATAAATAATGCATTCGCCGCAAAAAGATTTTTTTTATATTGTTTCACAGTCAGCATTAAAACGATAGATATAAAATTATTCAATTCATATATGTATTGAAGTTTCCATTATTATAGAATTGATATTTGAACATTCAAACGAAAAAGAAACAAAAATATTGTGCTTCAACATTTGTTTTAAATAGTGCAGATAGAAGCAGCGGTAAGTTCATTGTTCCTGTGCTAGTGAGACGAAAAAATCGAATTGGCTGCATTTATGCGTGTGTGTTTTTAAAGCAAAAACATTTTATGTGCGTCGAAGTACAGATCGAAAAAGAAAACGTATGCATAATCAAACGAAAATACAAAAACGACGTGATTCCATAATGTCTCCTACAATGCAAGGACCACAATCCTCTTCTGTTTCGGTTAAAATGCCACAATTACAGCCGCAACGTGGAAGTCTTCCAGGCAACATGCAACCAAACACTATCTCATTATCTATGTACTCCCACGGTAATTATGATGAAAAAAAATCTGTGTCTATTATTTGGTTCGTTTCTTTTTTGAGTTCTATTTCGACTAATTTTCCATGCATGTTTTTGTTATTTTGCATGTATCACATTTTATTGCGAACATTTTTCTTTTGATCGAAAAATGAAAGAAAAAATTAAATAAAAGAAGTAAATGTGCTTTTATCGCATTGTTTCGCAAACCGTTTCAACGGCGAACATTATACTTTCTTGACGTATCATATATCTACGTTTCAATCGGCATACAATCCGAAAATAAAACGAAGAGAATTGAAGATACTACGCAGTAGTACACAACATTTTAGGCAAAAGCAAATAAACGACGTCAAGAATATCCGTAAGGATATGTCAATGAACTCGGTTCTGTCTTGATGACAACCAGCCTTGGTAAATATCTTAATAGCGTTCAACATCTCAATAATTTCAGCCATTCTCCGTCATCAAAGCACACAAACATATCATCCACTCCTTTATATACGCAGAAAAGTAATTCCATTACTGAAATAGAAAACCAGTTTTGCACCGAATCACACAAACGTGTGTGTGTCTACATTTTGACATTTTGCGGTTAAAAGAGACATATAATAACATTAAATGCTAGACGAACATGCAATATTTTAACTGAACAATTCCCTTTCCACATTCTACTGGAAATAACATCCCTTTTTATTCATTCAACAATATTTTACATGATCAAATTCGATTAGGCCAAATTAATTGTAATCGATGACACGCGCAACTTCTGAACATATCAACTAATGAATAAAAATGAATTTAATTTGCTCAAAAAATGTCATACAATTTTTAAGTATTTTTCAAGTACAATTTTGAATAAAATTGTGAGTGCCGATATTTCTTTTGATACAATTACTAATGCTTTCATAAATTTCGAAGGTTTTTCATTTTTGTTCCACTTCATTTTATATTGATAGTCGCATATTTTGTCAAATACAGTGTACGTGTGGGTATATAAACACACCTCTTCATTTTTTGAAGTAACATTCGTAATAAAAGTAATAGTCCATTCATATAATTGCATAATGACAGTTGGTTGCAGGCGTTAGACATATTTGTCCTTTTCTGTCGCCCCCACATACACTCACATTCATCATAATCTCATTCTGAATATATATATAAATTTGTTTTGATGTTATCTCATTTCGATATACGGAACATATAAAAAAATTCACGTGATTATACAAAAATAGAATAATTCAATTTCTTTATAATTCAATACAGTGATGTCAACAATTACATAATTACCGGTAAATCAGTCACCATTTTATTTCCGATTGTGATAATTAGCATTCGAAAACCTTTGCATTTCGATTTCACGATATCATTTTCGTATAAAATACTCCAAATTCATTGGAAACTTTACAAACATGTAACACGTAATGCACACAGTTTAAATCATTTTTTTTTTTCATTTTTATAACTTAATGTATTACTTTATTGTAATAGTTACCAATGCAAAATTAGGTGACATGGGTAAATTTCAGTCATTTCTTTATATTCTTCGACATTTGATATGGTTTAAAATGGGGCCCTCAAATATTTAGTTTACAACGGAATTATTGTAACTTTGACATTACAATAAAATTAAAAATCAGCGGAACAAAAGCCGAAACTGTATTTCAAATTGAAATTTATCTTGTAATAACACTTTTATTACGTACTAGATCTTTTCTCAAATGTTTGACCAAAAAAAATTTAAAAGAATATTGATCGTCTCGCCCTCAGTTCATACAGGATTTATAAGAAAAGCTGAAATTTTTTTTCTGCCAAATTTTTTGTTTATACTCCGTAATCTAATGATGATTAAATACAGCATGGACAAAAAAGGAATTGCAAATGAGGGGAACACTTATTGCATATACGTCAGGACTTCTGATATTATCTAATAGATTTTTTTATAAGCAATGTGACACACATTGCAACCTTTATAGGTTTGAATTTATTTTGTGAAAAACAATAAAAACTTATTAACCCGTATGGGCTCTTGAAAATTGAATGTATGTCCATCCAAAACGTCGAGCAATGAAAATTTAAGAAAATAAACATTGGCCATTTAGCCTGTTCTGAATAAATAAATCCTCATTATTTATATTTAACAATTTCATATATACTTCTGGCCAGCCACGTCAACAAAACATAGATTGGCAACACGAGCCATTTGCTCTGTACATGCTCATTTCGAAAATAGATTGGGGTTAACTGGAAGGACTAACATTTCATTCAAATGCTGTTCATTATTAACTAAAACCCACTCACATATTCACCAAAAACTGGTTTCTGACTTCAAAATAACGAGACGAACCATTCCAAATATATTCAAATACTCGTGCGTACACAGATATTTATATTGTTAAATAAATTCAATGTGATGAGACTCCGATTTTATTGATATCTGTAGAATTAGTTTAGATGTGATTGAATACCTGTTCTATTTACATTTGAATGAAACCAACACAATTTTCATATTAAATGTCCTGTGTCAAACGAACTTGAATGATGTCTATTTTTAAGGATTTACAAATAGATTTGCGAATGGAACCCAACAATGAGTATAATAAACATTTCTTATTTGATTCTGAATATGTTAACAGACATGACGAAATGTAAAGAAAATAATGATTAAAAATCCCAACGACTTTAAATTTTGTGCTAAAATTCTTGCAAAACTCAATATTTCCTCTTTTAGTTGATTGATTAGTCTTGGTTGTAAGACAGTGTTTACAAATTATTCATGCTCAATTATGTGCATAACAGCCATACATAAACAAATTTAATACGTATTCATGTTTCGATGGTCATTGTCGTTATCATTTTTATGTTGTTTCTTTTTTACTATACGTTTGGCTTATTTTAGACATCAATTTCGTTTATTGATTAAATGTGTTTTGCATGTGAACAGTGTAAATATATATCGCTTTAAAATCTACTCACATGTTTCATATTCATGAAAGAAAAAAATCATACGGATGATAGAAATCAGGACAGGACACAGAAATGAAAAAAAAAATGAATAAACTGTCAAACACAAACCGTGAATGATATGAATTGGGAAAAGTAAATTTTTACGTGCGATATGTAGTGGTTTTTTGTCCATTGTTATTGTGATTTCCATGCTTTTTATGAATATACAAAAATATCAACGTGAGTATATATGTACATAAAAGTGTATGTTTTGGACACTTATACAATGTCATGTTATCCATAGTCGTATTTTAAAGGCATATGTATTTGTTTGTTACAACAGAATTGTTTTTTTTTCTTCTTCTGTGAATTAAGTGAGTCATAGTACTCCAATTTTTATAATATGACAGGTGTATGTGACACACCCTGTACTATGAAATGGGCTATTGTTTTTACATACTTTGGTCGTTGTTGAACGATGAACGATGAGCTACGACAAAGGATGATAGTCAATAATTCAGTCGAAGAACAACCTTAATCGATGTATAACACACAATTTGAGAATTTTCTGTCGATGATAACGAAACACTAAACTTTGCTGGATCCTTCCATCATCTGAAAGATAGTTTAAAGATTGAAAAATGTTTCAATACTTCAATACAATAATAATTCGTACAGTTGGTGATAAATAAATTTCAGAATAAAAGATATACCGATAAATCCATTTTCTTTGTTACCTCGTAATAAAAACAAGTTTGCTTTTCAATTGCTTTTCAATCAATCGTTTTCGAGAAAATCGTTTCTGACCTGTAATGAGATACTATTAGGAACTAATTGAACTAGAAAGAGAATTGAAAAGAAAGAATATGGTATAAAGTGCACTTATATTCTTCTCTCGTAATTAACTGAACAAATAATAGATACATATAAAAAATATGCCTGACGATCAAAGTAATATTATGACAGAATGTAAGCTCCATGAATGTGCAATATACTATTATAATTAGTATATGCAAATACACATATAAATCAAAACTAAAATCACATTGTATCGGAAATAATACATATAAAATATTATATTTACTGTACGTCTCTGTATTAAATGTTTCTTTTTTAATTTTCGAAAAAAGATCGATTGTATTAAAATTGAAATATACCTTTCATATTGCCTATATGAAAACATTGTTTAATTTGACATTTAATTTAATCGTTTGCACTTTTTTCACAGCTGAAGATGAACAGGAAGCAGAATCAGCGTCTTGTGGAAAAGCATTGATAGTTCTATCTTGGGTGCTCGTCGTTATAACGATGCCATTTAGTTTATTTGTTTGCTTTAAGGTAAGTCGTTATGTTTGGCTTCAAATTAACGCTAGAGATAAAGAAAGGTACTGAAATGAGTCAAAAGTTTGTATTCATTCTTTTCTACGATAAACTTTCAAATTATGGCTGTAGAAAACAGAAAAAGCAATACTTTTCAAATAATACAAGGTGTAAGGGTGAAATTGAAAGGTGGAAAAAGAACATATCAATTTAAGTTTATTTACGGCACATATTCATGAGAAATTCTTGATCGGCATGACTGGTAAACAAATTTAAGTTGTCACCTGCTACGATTTTAATTAATGTTTAATAAAAATCGATTAACAATGATCACATTTATTTCGATTGAACGTTTTTTTTCCGCAGGTCGTACAGGAATACGAAAGAGCTGTTATATTTCGTCTGGGTCGTTTAATGCAAGGTACGTTTTTGGATGAATACAATTGGCATTTTTATTATATAAAAAATATGCTATTTTTCAATACTCGTTGTCATCGATTCCAAATGATGCCAAACAATACGTAGATTTAATTAACATGATAATTTTGATTTTTTTTAGGAGGTGCCAAAGGCCCAGGTAAATGATTCAAGTCAGAAATATGTTAAAATAATGGTTTAATATTGAACAAATCAGACAATATATTGAATTAACTGGTCAGTTGAGCTGACAGTACGTTAGTCAGCTAAATGGACTAAAATAATAGACTAAAATTCTTGTTTTAATAGAATTGATTGTTCATTATAACAATAACTTTTATTGTTTTAGTCCATTTAGCTGGCTAACGTACTGTCAACTCAACTGATCAGTTAGTTTAATATATTGTCTGGAACAAATACATTGCATATAGTAACTGAATTTTAAATGGATTTTTGCATAATAAGTGAACAAAATAAATGATCAAACATATGAAAAAGTTTGTTAATCAACTGATGAGTTTAAAATTGTGCCATGTTATTTGTATGCAATATTCCGAAATTCTATATTGATGTTCAAGATAATGCAGAGTTACGTGTTTATATGCACGAAAAATTCAATTCAGTAGTTCATCCAACTCAAACCACAATCGTTCCAGTTTTCTCATTAATATAAGTGTGATATATTTGCAGGTATATTTTTCATATTGCCATGCGTCGATGCATACGCTCGAGTTGATTTACGTACCAGAACGTATGATGTTCCACCACAAGAGGTAAAATTTTGTTTTTGTTATATGTATCAACACGCAAATTTCTAATTAACATTTTGAAAAATGCATTTTTCCTATTTGACTTATAAATTAGTAATTTAAAATTACTACTCCATCAAATATAGCATAAGCGTATACAAATAAAATGAGAGATATAACAATTTTGCATATTAGCTATCCAATTGAGATTTTAATGATTGCAACAAATTTGTTTATCTTTTTGGTATCAGGTATTGACCAAGGACAGTGTGACAGTCAGCGTTGACGCCGTTGTTTACTATCGCGTGTCAAATGCAACTGTTTCGATTGCAAATGTCGAAAATGCTCATCATTCAACTCGATTATTGGCACAGACAACGCTACGAAATACAATGGGAACGCGTCATCTCCATGAAATATTGAGTGAACGTCAAACCATCTCTGGAACTATGCAGGTAAGAAATGATCGTGCTTCCAAATTTAATTGAATCTATTTAATTTCTTTTGCATTTTTGAAAAAACTCTTTCAACTGGTTCCAGTGCGTTGCCAAGTATTAAATTAAGTAAAAAATTGATTTTTGCTACAGGTGCAATTAGATGAAGTAACCGAGGCTTGGGGAATCAAGGTTGAACGAGTCGAAATGTTAGTGAATTTATAAAAAAAAAAAAAACAAATTCGAATCTATATTCTTTCAAGTCAAAATACTAATACATTATCACAAAACAGAAAAGACGTTCGTTTGCCCATCCAGTTGCAACGTGCCATGGCTGCAGAAGCCGAGGCTTCCCGAGAGGCTCGCGCCAAAGTTATTGCCGCTGAAGGTGAACAGAAGGCATCCCGTGCATTGCGCGAAGCGAGCGAGGTTATCGGCGATTCACCAGCCGCTCTTCAACTGAGATATCTTCAGGTGCGTCACAAGTTTACATACTTATTTCATATAAATTCGACAAATAATGTGACATCAACTAATAAACGTTTTTCATTTGATTTACAGACATTGAATACAATTTCGGCTGAGAAGAATTCGACCATTGTGTTCCCGTTGCCGATCGATTTGATAACATACTTCTTGAAATCACATCAAGATAGCTAAGTCATCGTTTGTTGTTTTATCAAACAAATTTTTCGAATTTCTATTTTCGAGTTTGATCTGTGTACTTTTTTGTAAAGATATGCACCAAATCACATGACTTTCTGAGATTACTTATTTATTAACGTATACTCATTAGAGAACAAAAAATAATGTTCTGGTTTGTTTTCAAAACACTTACAAAATGATAAAATGAATGAATTTTTTTTGTAGAATGCCTGCTGGACATTGCTTTCGACCAAATACCTAGCATGTATTGCCTAAACTAATGTCACAAATGTAGCCAGTGATCATTTTAATAACAATCGCCTTCACTCAAAGAATCATCATACAATGACATTTTTGATTGAATAGGTTTCATGACACTTCATTTCATTTCTATCCAGTAGAAAACAAGACACATTTGTGAGATATATGGTTGGCTTAGAATTGGATGGTTTGATTTCATTGCATAGCTGATAATACTGGAGAATTAGAAATGATGGTGCTTTATTGGTATTTTCAGTCAAATCGAAGTAGCCATGATGTTACATAATTCATTGAAATAAATAAAAAGGGGCGTTTTGTCTTGTGCATGGTTGAACAGACTTTGCTTGAAAACTAATTCATGGAATATGCATATTCGAATCATGGAATGGACACCAATACCAATTTCACAACTATTGTCTTTTCGTTAAAAACATTTTATCCAATTGTCGTTGTTTGTTTCTTATTTCTATTATTTTCCGACACTATTTATACAAACTTATTAGCGAAAATTTTACAACAATTTTGTACAACATATTGGCAATGTTGCCAAAAATGAAAATATGATTATACATATATTTTCCATTGACTTAACATATAAAAATGAAATATTTAGTCACAATATTTTTTGAAGATTTTTAAATAACGATGATAAAGCGATTGATGCCTAAAATAGATTAAAATAACGATCTTTTTTTTCTATTTTCGCTAATAAACGCATGAGATAAAAGCTAACGGTGTCCTTCTCCAAGGGAGAATCACTTGCAGATCGTTTTGACACTGCAACCCATTTTTGGCAAGCGCTATAGGAAAAGTAAACATTTAAATGTTCACATCTGGACACGAAATTTCTCGTTAGCTAATAATTGATGAACTACATTGTTTGTTTGTTTGTTTTTTTATCCTACAAAATCGAACCGAACTATAATTGCGTTTGGGTCCAATTTTCTTTACCGGATAAATTCTTAAATTTGACAAAAATATGACCAAAGAAAATGTCTTTTTAAAGATAATAAATATTCGTAGATATATAGAAAATAATGTCTGACACTTCAGATGTCTCACATGGAAGTGGATTCAGCTTAAAGTGGGTTAACATAATTTACAACACATAATGTAAAATTAGACTATCCGCCAAAGTTTACGTATTGTTCAAACTATACTAGTTATTGTAATAAGCAGGGTCGCAAATAGCATATGATAATCAGCGATTAAACAAAGAGATCAGCAACGAAACAATACTATACTATAAATCCACCAAATACAGTGCAGATATTTTATATTAATCGATTATTGTTTTTTGTCGTCAATTTCTCTGGCGGCACACACGGTGCACTAATTCAAATATACAATTGTTTTGTATAATCGGTACATGATTTGAATATTTTACTTTAAATTGACAAGGACTTGAACAATCAACTAGTATTTTTTGGTTTCAATGTTACCGAATTGTTATTATACTTGATTAATTTTACGAATAGTATAATTGAAATGTCAAAATATATTATATAATTTATGAGATTTTAAAATCTTAAAAAATTGGTTAAATTATCTAAATGTTGTAAAGCCATTATGTTTACCGTTACGCATGTAAAGCGGCATCAAATCGCAGCACACATTGAACAATATATTTCATGGAATTAAAGCAACGCAATATTTACGCCAGAAGTTACTTGTAGGCAAGTTGTAGCAACTAGAATAAAAAATAGATAGAACAATCACTCATTAACGCATTCTAATTAGAAAAATGTCTAGTTGGCGTTAGTTCTTTCTATCTCATACTAGCCGATGCTGGTTCGTTCTGGCTTGGATATTCCTTTGATTTAGAGTGTTGTCGGAGTTGCGTGCGGTCATACTTAATATTTCGTTTGCTGTTTTTTTTATTTTTATTTTTTTTTTCAATCGAAATCTATATATGGTGTCACCTCTTATGCATATAAAATGCACATTATACAATATTGTAATATACATTACAATTTTTAAAGGTATTTATTAAAATTAAGAGCGAATGAAAACTCACTAAATGCACATTTTTCAAATTATTCTTTTTTGCAAAAATTTACTCAATAAATAATGAGCCAAAATAAAAAAAATGGAAATAAAAATAGTTCTTTCGATGATTTAAATGTTACATTTTTATTTCTGCTTCAAGTATTCAGTTTATTTGTTTTTAGTTCACATCGAAAACTTGCAGGTATAAGTTGAAATTGAAATGATTTTCTCGAACCAATTTAAATTTTTTCATGTTTACATTACAGAATACTATGTATTTTTACTTCCAAAAGAAACGCCGAGTAGGTTATAAAATAGATTTGGAGAATAAACATTTTCTATCTATGAAAATTGATGAAGCTGGATTTTTCTTTGAGACACAATCATTTCAAAAGCAAAGAACCGTATATTGAATTGATTTTAATCAATTTCAATATCGTTCACGATATGCAAACGCCTATTCAATTGTAAAACCAATTCTTTAGAAAGAATCTGGTATTTCGAATTTAAGTGAAAATTATCTCAAAATACAACAAGATTCATATATACACGGTGTCTCATATAAGTGTGGGCGAGCAAGCAAGCAATTAAACTCCAACGTTGTCGTGATGTGAATGCCGGTCGAAATATGTGGATACATGGTAAGTCTCTCCCTCTCTCTCTCTCTTCGATGAACCGGTACTATACCGCGCACACATTTAAAATTTTATTTGTATAACCACAAGTACGTTGCCTGTTGTATTTAAAACAAGCTCTTTTGAACTCATGTAAAAAAAATTCAAATTCTCTTTACCAAAAACAATTCTAATTTAAATATCTAGTTCAGGTCAAAAATGTGCAATACATTCATATAGTAGATTGAAATTTCGTTAAATAGAAAAATATTTTTTGTCTATAGCATGTCCTCAGAGAAGTTCACACTTTTGAGTAAATATCAAATTAATCAAACTAATCGTTATCATATTTGGCTTCATTAGAGTGTCAACATACGTCCTCAGCAGGGGTCCGAGGGGTCCGATTACCCCCCCCTGACGAAGTGTTACCCCTTCAAAATTTTCAAAGAATTCTTTCAATTTGCTAGGGAATTTCGCCAAAAAAGTGAGGACCTTTTTTTTTTTTTTTTTTTTTTGCTCCTCACTTTTGTTTTCAACGTAGGAAAAATTCTTTCAATTTGCTAGGGATTTTTGCCCAAAAAGTGAGGAGCAAAAAAAAAAAAAAAAAAACGAAAAAGGTACACTTTTCGCAAAATACACTTCACTTTTTTGCTTACCCCTCTCGATTTTTTTCAATTACCCTCCCTTAAATTTTTTCCTTGAGGACGTATGAGTGTCAACCACTTTAATATCACACATCAGACGTTTCATTTTGTTTAAAAGTGCTTCATATGATGTCTTATCCAGTAGAGAAATTCATCGACTCTCTAAATGAAATGAATAGAAAAAATTTGAGAAAATAGTAGACAAAAATGCAAAAATTTACGAATAAAATTATATTTACTGTATAAATTGCTGGGTAACCGACTGTTCCACCTAAAAAATAAAAAAATCCATCAATAATTAACACATACAAGTATGGAAATTAAACAGGTTAAGAATTACAATGTCGATGGCCACGGGATACTATTCCGGCTGTAATTATTTATTATTATTATTTGTGGTAAAACTGAATAGATTGATATAGAGTGATTTATAATAATATTACCTAGGTATGTAATTGGTAGTCCTCTGGTAAGTTTACCATCTATCATCAATGGACCGCCTAATCAAGATTTAAACAAATGAGTAATTCAAAATACAAATATGCATTACTAACCCGAATCCCCTCTGCAACTGTCCTTCCCCTCTTCGCCACCGGCACAGATTTGTGATGTAGTTAAACCTCGTCCGTATAGGTTATTACATTCAATCCAATTGGTACCATTTACTTCGACTTTCATCTTAACATCACTTGAAGTTACTATCAACGAATGTATTATCTTTATTTACAAAAACTGTTTTATTGGTATAAGTATTTAAAATCATACAATTTTCCGTCAATCCAAATCCGCTAACCACCATAATAACATTGTCCAATCTTACACCTCGCACAGATGAATCAAATGGTAAACATATTGGTTTGACGAAACTTGTAAATGCGACCGATTGAGACAAACGTAACAAGGCAATATCATTATATTGTGTGGATGAGTTTGGTACATATTTTTCATGAACGATTATCTCAGCAATAATTACATTAACCACTGGCGGGCTACATTCACCCTGTAACAATTAAGAATAATCAAAAAGTGTCAAAAAATTAGCATATTAAACGAAGTTCGTTCAATGAATAATCTCAAACGTACATCATCCTCACAGTCTGGATCAGTGGATACTTTATGTTCGCCCAACCGTACAGATTTTGGACTCCAACCAGCTTGCAAAAGTTTAGTAGAGCCCACACAATGCGCCGCTGTTATGACATAATCTTTATTTATAAGAGTTCCACCACAAAGAAATCGTGGACGCGCTCCAGCTGCAGAAAAAAAACGATAAATACGTCATTTTGTAGTTAAAACGAAATATGAATATGAATTACTCTTTGAATATTCAATCAGTGTTAACCATGGATACTCGCCCGGCGCCGTCTCTTCACCACCAACAATTTTGTCTTTGAACTGCGTCCCGCACTGTCCCAGAATTGGAAAATCGCTCTCTTTGAATGTTGGCTCAACACAACATACCTACAATCAAATTCATTTCATTTTAAATGTGCCAATTGGTTTCTTTCCATTTTTCATTACCCATGGAGTTTTTTTCACTATTGCACACTGTGAAGCTTTAAGGTCATTAATTTCTTTGCTCGTTAATGTGCTATAATTTTTTAAAATTTTCAATGCAGGCGGACACTGTTGTATTGAAATACATGTGCCATCCCTCCCATCTGGTGTCTTACATGGGTTTTCTGCGAAAAAGAAAAAAAAACGATGACAAATCCATTATACATACATATTATTTTAACTATGGTAGAAATGCCCATGTAATTCAAAATACACAAATTGAATATGATTATATGTTTCCTATCAACAAGCGACGATTAAACTTACGTGCATTTACAAATCCGGTAAATGAGATGAACATACTACAAATTATGATTAGCATCTGCATTGTTGGTGGAAATGATTTTCACACTATATTAGACTATAAATTTCGTTGTCAACGCAGTGGAGTTTTAACAGATACTGCCAATTTCAAATGGACGCACTCTATAAACCCCATTTCATTTCCAAATATGCACAGAACAGCGCTGCTGATTAAATATCTGTTTCGTTCGTTATCAATGACCCACAGACGATGTTATCAAATGAAATGTGCAGAGTTCAAATGAAATGTGTTATGTGAATCGCAAGAGTAATCAATAAGAGTTTGTATGTGACTTGCGAGTCCTCTTATGATTTTCGAGTCAGTATGAAGTCTCAAGGACAAGAAAAATTCTTATTCAGAACATTACATCGAAATAGTAAATAAATATTTTATTTTTTTATTATTATTTTTTAATAAACATGTGATTTGTCTCATTTCAAAGGCCTTTGAAAGGCACAAGAAAATAAAAGTGTTGAAATACCAAAAATTGTTCAAACAATTTTGCGAGGATGGGATTTGGCTGCATCAGAACTCATTGCATTTAATCTGTAACAGAGAGCATCATAATTACGATGTCATTGGTGCAATTGTCATGCATGAATAAATACAATTTTTTATGAATAACCTAAAAAACTGTTTTTTAAATTCAAAATTTCTTTTATGCTATTTATATCAATTTGTTCTTCATTTTCGATCAAAATAAAAAGAAAATTGAATTTGATTTGACATTGAAACGAATTTAGACACAATCAAGTTTGTCATGTGAGATTAACACATTATCAATCGTTCTCAAAAGTGATCAAGAAACAGTAGCAACAAGAGCATTTCTTTACAGAAAAGAAAAAAGTTTTAAGTAAACGAAATTGTGAAGCATCTTTTATAGTAGTTATTCATGCATCAAGCGAAGATATAATAATAATTAAATAGCAATGAATGTGAAAAAATTGAACGAATTAGTTTGTGTGGTAGTTGGTTCAATATTGTTTGCATATTGGCTTCTACAGGAATATCTTTTATTTCTCTCTATTAAAATGGGAAATGTTCATAGTGATGAATACTTGTATTTTTGGTTTTCTGGATTTTACAGTAAGTTTATCATATGATAAAAAAAACTTCCCTACCCAATGGGAAAATCACCGGTTTTCGAATTTCGTTTATTTAATGAGTACTAATATTGATCGTTCATTTTTCTATGCAGTCATGAATTGTGTGATGTCAATCATTTGTGGTATTTTAAAAGTAAGTGGATTTTCGCAAACAAAACTTGATGAAATCAACTAATTCTTCAATTTCATTCATAAACAGGGGAATCGCAAGAATATAGGATGGTCGGTGATATGAATTTTTTTGAGTCTTTCAAACTGCATCACAACTCAAATTTTATTCAACTTATTATATTTTAACTTAAAAATGGCGATTTTCTTAATAGGTAATTTTAGTTTTGTTTACATTTCCATTTATTTTGTATTTAAATATCTCAAAATCGATGCTCCCTTTTTTTCAGTCACTTTGGTCGTAGTAGGCATTGTAACATACATCAAATGTAAAGGTTCAAATCAAACGGAAACACGTCAGCGAAGTAGACGTCATGTTGTTTCTTTTGGAAATTATAGAACCACAAGAACCGAACCAATTCGACCAAATCATTATGAGTCATCATCAATCTAGAATCAATGAATCGACAGAACCGAATTATTACAATAGCCATGACGGACACAGATCTGAAGAACAAAATGCGTTTTTAGATTGCAAAGGATCTTCTCATATACCATCACATCACACAAAAATCTCGGAAGATAATGACACGACGTCTTATCATTGTACAAATAATAGAGACGATCATGGTTCACATCACAAAATCGATTCACATTCGCATCATGTTTCTGATTATTCACATCACTCCAATGATCATGCATATTCGGCACCATCACATTCAACTTATGATACACACACATCTTCACACTGTGACACAACTTCGACGTATACATGCCACGATACGGGAACCACCGACTCAGGCACCTGTGATACAGGCGGCTATGATGATTAAATTCATTTAGACAGAAGTCTTCAAGCGAATCTCATAAATTTATGATTTTCGCGTGAATTTCGGGTATTCTCAGGGTATTTAAAGTAAACCAATTTTTATCGAACCACAAAATCTTTCAGTATTAATTAGATTGAAGAGCCATATGTACTATATTTTACATATTTTTTTTGTCTTTTTGACGCCTTTTCTTTTTGGTTATGTAGTATAAAATGTTTTAGTACAAATTCAAGCAAGGTTCAAGTTAGTTCCTTTAAATGATGTTTTTTTAAATAATAATAAAATCTCCACATTATATGCAATCAAACAAATGAAAACATAAAACCTTTCAATGTCCAAAATAACAATGTCAATTGAAATTGAGGTGTACATATCAACACAACTGTTGCATCTATTGACACAGCATCTCATTGAAATATGCACGTGTGTCGTATAATAAATTCCAAATTGCCGGCACTCATTCGCGATTTGACCGTCAACGAGGTAAGTTAGTGAAACGATAAACAAAATTTTTCACAGCTAATGTTTGGTTGCATAAATTTTCTTAATTAGTTAATTCATTGTTAATATATTCACAGCAAAACTACCAAAATATATCGAAAAAATAAAATGAGGCAAGTCAAAATAATGAGGTGTTCGAGCTGTATAAAATTTATATACTATAAATGCTTGGATTGCAAGGAGACGAACATTGAAAATTTGAAAACTCATGCCACAAAAAAACACGACGATGCATGGACTCGATTTGTAATTGATCGAAATCTTGTACGCTGTGAATATTGCACTTTTCTTTAGTCTAACTTTTCCCGCTGTTTCCAAATTAATTCTAAATCCTGAGAGCAATAGGTTTTTTGGCCGGATGCAATGACTACATGATATCACAATGACCATGTTTTACAAAAAAACGACCATTCTGAGAGTTTGAAGAACTTTCAATTAAAAATAAAGGTACTGCCCATATAAAATTTTCAATTTACGGCTGAAAAACGAAACATTTGTATAGGAAGTACCTCTAATTTTGATTGAAATTTCTTAAAACTTTCAAAATGTTATTTTTTTGTGTAAAAAATAGCCTGTGCAAAGTTTCACGTCATTACAATATAATACAGGCATGGCTTCCATACAAAAATTCAATTTATTTTGGATTTTTTCAAACAAACTGTGTCAAATATTGATTGTATCTCAAAATTAATTCCGTTTTCTCGTACCAAAAAACCCCCCATTACACATTTCAAACTTTGATTTACGTCTCTGGGAAATGATTTATCGAGTTAACAAGTTTTTGCATACCAGGGGTATGGTATATGGGTACACCATGGATTTGCTTTTCTCTAAGAAGAGTTATCGTGGTAACAAATTACCTATTGATTTTTTGCATAGAAAAATGATTTTTACCGATTTTAAAATTTTGGGCTGATTGCAATATGAATGAGCGAATACCACACGGGAAAGCAAGAGGCGATTAGAACGAAAGCAGGTTCAAAAGCGAAAGGACACAAAAACATTTGTAAAAAATAAGAAAGTTATTAATTAAATTAAGATAAAGTAAGTTATCAACTTAAATAAAACAAATCTTTTTCTATACAGTGAATTATAAAGACAATTCATTTCATGGTTCGTTTAGGATTGGCCAACATGATAAAGAATGTGATAAGATTGACGATGGTCATTCCTTTGATTTTGATAATACATGAATTTTAAAAATTGAGCGCAATAAATTCAAATTACAGGTGCATGAAGTCAATCAAATCACTAAGTATGAAGATAAAGTGTGCAATTATAAGACTGATAAGAAAGATTATTCAAACTCGTATTAGAATCTAATTATGTATGCAAATAAGAATGTTTAGATGTCTTTGTTTGTAGTTCAATGATGTAATTTGTAGTTCAGTGGATTTTGTCTCTCTCTTTGACATTTAACTTTGTTTCTCGGTACTAGTCACACATTTGAAGAAAAAGAGCTATGGTTTGTGTCATTTCTCTTTTTTAACTATTTTTATAATATTATTTTTAAAGAAAAATTGTTGTTTTGTTTGTTTTATAGTTCCTGATGATGGTCGAAGTATATTTATTTACACATTTGTGTTGATACATCGAATACAACCATAAACAACGTTGTTTTCTTATTGAGTTAAAATTGGAGGCAATACAACGCTACATCATAAATTTAGAATAGTTTTTCATTCGATTACAGCTGCTGAAGTGTCAACTAATCATTTTCACATTGATTATGGAATTTCATGAAAAAAAGCAGCAAATACGAAATTTAGAAAAAATATAAATAGATAGAAAATATCATTGAAATTCCGCATTTGATACTGTGTTTCCTACCGACAACAATCAAATAAAACACCATGAATAAAGTGTGTTCATTGAAAAATCTACAAAAATTGGTATACCCAGGTCATCGTTCGTTGGGCACAACAAATGCCAAGCTCCAGTCAGTGGATGAACCAAAGGTCGACGAGGTGAGTAAAAAAATCATTCAAAAATTTCCATAAATCCACGAAGATGTGCACATTTTTTAGTTCGATAATTTTTTTATTAAAGCCAAAAGAAGTGGAGATTGAAGCGCCGTGGGGTCACATCGCTGCAAAATGGTACGGGCCATCAAATACCCGCCCCATCGTACTGCTTCATGGTTGGATGGACAATTGCAATTCTTTTGATCCACTGATCCCATTGTTGCCGAAGCATCTCGCATATTTGTCGATTGATTTGCCGGGTCACGGGTTATCAAGCCGTTTACCGCATGGAATAATGTATACAGCAACCAATTTTCTGAATGTAGTGAGCATCATTCAACGTCATTACAAATGGGATCAAATTTCATTTTGTGGTCATTCGATGGGCGCTGAAATCTCGTCACTTTATGCGGCACTGTACCCAGAACGATGTGATTTATTGATTTGTTTGGACGTATTGGTAAAACCATATTTTGGTAATGCGGATCATTTAATCGAGCTTACTCGCAAGAGTTTCGACGAATTTTTGGATCTGGATCAATTGAATCGATCTGATAAAGAGCCACCAAGTTATACGTATAATGAAGCGCTTGAACGGTGGGCAAAACAAACGAACTTAACACCAGAAGCCACAGAATATCTTATGAAACGGGGTGTTGCCACGTCAAAATCGAACAAAAATCTCTTCCATTTTACCAGAGATATTCGACTTAAATTGATGGAATTTACGTCGGCCAATATTAATGATGACGTCCATTATAAGTTGATGGAACGCATAAAGGCACCGCATCTTTTCATCAAATGCAGTAAATCGAAGGAGTTTGAAGGAAAAGAACGATATCAAGAAGCGCTGGACACTTTGACCAAGGCGAATCCAAAGTTTGAGTTGCGCACCGTTGTTGGTGGCCATCATTGTCATTTGACCGAACCAAAGCATGTCAGCGAGCATATTTCGAAGTTTATCAATAAATATCGTCCGCAGATCGAGAATTGATGGGATTATGCACAGTAGTGTGCGAGGAAAATTTTTCAGGGGGAGGGGGTGATTTTTCGAAACCAAAAAATTCTCTAGCAAATCAGAAGAATTTTCGTTTTTTTTTTGGAAGTCACTTTTTGAGGCGGAAATCCCTAGCAAATCAAAAGAATTTTCTCCGCGAAAAACCCTAGCAAATTGAAAGAATTCTCCTCAATTTTTTACATTGATGAGCTAAAAAAAAAAGTCTTTGAATGTTGAACAGGTTTAATTCAATTAAAGTGCTTTATGGATTTAAAGAAAAAGCATCGACATTTTTCATTGATTTTTCTGTTTTTTTAAAACTTTTTTCAATTTTTTTGGACCTAACGTATGGACAAATAACCGGCTGATGGTGGGGCTCAAAAAAGAAGCGCCCAATATTAATGTGTCATGGTTGGCAAGATTGTGAAGGTTCAAATTTTTATTTTAAATAAATAATTGTTTTGGAGCGATAAACGACTATAACTAATGAATAAAAACCAAAATAATCTTTAAAGTCATTTAATTTTTAATATATAATATACTTGAACGCGAGATAAACATTTGTTTCGATGCCACCAGGCATAATAATCATTCGCAATCTGGTGGCATCGAAACAAATGTTTGTCTCGCGCTCAAGTATATTATATATTAAAAATAATTTTCAGAAAAAAAACTGTACTTCAAATCGATACGTTGTTATTATTTAACGTAGGTCATGGTTTTTCATCGCATCTCCCGCCCGGTTGTTATTATCACACCGTGGATTTCATCGTAATTTAGGAAGAAATTCGTATAAAAATGAAATGGGAACGTATCAGTCTGATAGGTCACTCGATGGGTGCGATTGTTTCATTTTATTTCGGTGCAATTTTACCCGAAAATTTCGACTTAATCGTTGCATTAGACACAATCAAGCCGCAAAATTATCCGCCACACACCACGGAGAAATTATACACATTCCAAGCAACTCAACTCATCAATTTGATGGGCAATTTAAAAGAACATGCACCCGAATACACTTATGATGAGTTAGGGCAGCGGGTCCTTGACGGATCCTAACAATCAGTGGACATCGATAAAGCAAAATATATGCTATCAGCCATGGTACAAAACCATCTAAAAATAATCCAAATAAATTCTATTTCACCAGAGACGTTCGGGTCAAGTACATGCAACCATTTTACATTACACAATCAGTCACAGCGGAATATTATATTATTTATTCATCAACAACTTATTTATTCATCAAATCGGATGATCTGATCTTTCGTGAACCAGAAAAAAAATACTCGAAGCAATCGAACTGTTTAAACGATTCGTTTAACGATACAATAAAAATTTTGACATGTTAAAAATACCCGGAACACATCACGTTCATTTAAATCAACCCGAATTAATGGCAGAGAAAATTTGAAAATTTCTTCATAAACACTATATTTTTGAGGAACAAAAGTGCATTGAATTGAAATGCAAATAATGAATTGAAACTAGAATTGATCATTATCGTTTGAGGTTATCGTAAATTAATGGAGAACAATACGATTTATGGATAAGTAAAAATATTTATAATTGGGTATAGTGGGCTACGGGATCCCATTTTTATTTGGATGATCTATTTTTTTCATTCACATCAAATTTTATTTGGGCACAATTTGTAAGCAATTGCTTTGATTACCAATTAATTTGAAGTATTTTTTTATATTTATTTTAGTGCCAAAACTGGAATCATCTCTATCTTTGTACAAAATATCTACCGTAAAATTTTACTTTTTGAATCTGCTTTTAAACGAGAATTTAATTTAAACACCATCAAAATGGGAATGGGAGATCGTTTACTTATTTTAACATTTAAAACGATAATAAATGGACATTTTTAACAATAAAGTGTGTTTTTATTTGGAATAATCTAATACTACATTCAGTTTCAGGCTCTATGAAATTTTACCTCCTATCGCATACACGA